TACAGGATGGAATTATCAGTAGTTCTTCGTATAATGCTGAAGTCTGGAATGGGCAGAGTTTTATTTCTGCACTGTACACCCCTGAGCCTGGATAGCTCAGTCAGTATAGCGACTGGCTACGGGCTGGAGGGCCTATGGGTCGGCGTTCGAGTCCTGGTAGGGGTAAGAATTTTCTCCACGTCGTCCAGACCGACTCTGGGGCCCACCTATTCTCCTGTACAGTGAGTTCCGGGGTTTATTTCTCCGGGGGTAGAGTGGCCGGGACGTGAAGCTGACCACTCACCTCTACCTAGTGCCGAGGTCAAGAAAATGTGGATTTATACATCCATTTCCCCGTACGTCTTCATGATGCAGTGCTTAATTGGTTACGCTCAGGGACAATTTTACCTTGTTACTGTACACCTCTACATGCCTTCGTGACGTGGTCCTTATTCATTGGAGTATGTTTTATTCTGTATCACATGCATAGACATGACAAGAATATGACACTTGAAACCGGCGTCAGATCTCAGCGTATACTAGAACCTTCGTACAAGATATGTATGTTACAGTACCCTTACTTTCTTCCTATAAAGACTGTCTCATCCTTACTGATAAGCGCCGAATGGGAGAGTGATTGTGAATTATGCATTGTAAATGCCGATAGTGTTGTATGAGTGTAGAAGGGAAGAGCATGGACTAAGGGTGTTTGAGAACAGGGTGCTGAGGAGAATATTCGGACCGAAGACAGATGAATGACGGGAGGTTTCAGAAAACTGCATATTGAGGAGCTTCATAACTTGTACTGTTCACCAGATATAATTAGGACGTAGGGGCTGGATGATATTAAAATTATCTTGGAGAAATAGGATGGGATGATATGGACTGGATTAATGTGGCTCAGGATAGGGACCAGTGGAGGGCTCTTGTGAACACGGTAATGAAACTTCGGGGTCCATAAAACGTTGGGTAATTCTTGAGTGGCTGAGCGACTGATGGTTCCTAAAGGAGGAGTCAGCTCCAGTTACTTATATAAAGGATGTGGAGGACTCGGCCGTGATCTGTTATGACTCGTCCTAGTGGCTGCCTGGATTGACTTCAGAAAATGGCTAACAGAAACGTCGATTTCCGAACCCGTGGACTTGTGAAGACGCAAGAGAAGCACAAACCGCTCGACGTGGGTGTTCGGGGTAACGGTACTGTAGTCTGCTTACAGCGAAAAGGGGCGCCAGATTGTCATGACGTGGTACTATAGGATTACACCAAGTGGGCGGGCAGGCTCAAGAAGTAGTAATGCTTTTGACTTGTATTTGAGAGACGCCCGGTTCGAATCTCGGCTGGGATACCTGCTACTGTGGCAGGCATTTCGTGGTTTCTCTCCATCCCTCCAGGCAAATTCAGGGTTAGTATTTCGGGTATGCCAAAGTCACTTCCTCCCAAATTCCTTTAATTCATCATTCACAGTCAGACTTACAGCGTCGGTAAATACGTATATCTTGAACGCTACAGACTTAACGCTCTCGAAACTTTTGGTTTGAGGCAATATGACGAATCGCGTGGGGGAAAGCGGGGTAACGAGGGTTATTGCCTGAAGGGACGCTGGAATCGGTGTGAGGTTTGGAGGAGGGATTGATTCGAACCCTCTTTGCAGTCCTCCAGCCCCCTACAAATACGAAATTGTGGAGGGAGGAGAGATAAGGGAACATTTAAGTTGATTGGTTTCTCTGCGAGCGAGGGGATCACGAGGGAGGGAAACATTTTCCAAAATAGAAGAAATAATTTTATTTTGCTGCCATAGTACGGGTGCGTACCACCCTTACGTTGGTGTAATTGATTGATACAGCAGTTTGAAATCGAATATGAAGCTTGCTCAAGGATTACGAAAGGAAGGCGTATAGTGGCAGTGGAGGTAAAGATGTACGCATTCTCAGGTTGCGAGGTCTGCTACCCCGATACATGTTGCACACGAGGCTCAGTGATTTCAGTTGGAATTAAATATTTCCCTGAACATCAGTTACCTCTGCGAGATACGGGGTTCTCGTAAGGGCAATGGTTATCAAGGTTGGGGCCTTCTGGGTAATGACACCTTGTACTTTTTTTATTGCTAGTGGGGTGGTACTAAGTCCCTTGTACTGCGGCCACTTCTGGCCTATTGTACCATCCCCAGATGATAGGTTAGGGTGATTGTGTAGCAGTTGGTGGAATGAAGATTTGCAAGGGAAATCGAAGTACTTGGAGAAAACCTGCCCCAGCGCCACTTTGTCCGCCACAAATCTCACTTGACCAAACCCGGAATCGAACCTGGGCCGCCGCGGTGGGAAGCCAGCGACTAACCGCTTGAGCTATGGCGCGGCCCACACCTTGTACTTTAGTAGATGGGCATTTGGCCACCAAACTACACAACGAGACGTTCAAGAGGACCGCACTTTCTCTATCATGTTCCACCCCTCCCTCCCCCCCTTAAGATGCCGCGTTTCCTGAGTCTTTCCTCCTCGGCAGGTAAAAGTTATCCCCATGCCTTAGGAAATACAACGTTTTAAAATAGTCGTTTGCGAATGAAATGATAGACGAGTCTCGCCTTTGCGTGATTAGAATCATCATACCCCCGTCCACACCGTACCTGTGTAAAGCTACACAGTTAGGAAACCGCCATTAAATAAACTGGGAAGAAGAAACAGACATTTCTTGTGGGACTGTAATTTGAAAATCCGTGTTTTACACTTGTGAAATTCGCAAGTTGTGTAGGAGACATGAGGGGGGGGGGAAAAACTCCGTGGCTTGAGTCCGCAAGGGAACTATACCGACCGGTCCGCAAGGGAACTATACCGACCGAGCGGCCGCCGTTTGTCGGCGAAGTTAGTGCCAACTTTTGCGGAAAGAGGGTGTCGCGTGGTCAGCGCACCGAATCCTCACGGTCGTTAATTTCGGTTTTCTAGACCGGAGAGGAAAACAAATATGTAAAGCAAATTGGTGACTAAACCTTAGGGAGACCGATGGGAATAGAGGGGTGAGTGTGACAGTAATACTACAAGGCCGTCTAATGGGAATGTCAGCTGGCTCAAAACAGGATCCAGCAGCGAGATCTTACTGTCATGATCCGCGTTTCGGTTTCGAAAGACAGGCAGTGCCTTGATTACGTGAATATACAGGATATCCGAGAAAGACTGCACACATTTTAAACATTTTTGTAAGAATAAAAACAGAGCTAGGAGAATACAGTTTTCACCACATGAAACAGCTGCTCAGAAAGTTTTTTCCCCACCTCTCGCCACCGTTTACGAGTTTCACTACATGACAGCGGAGCTGCAGTTTTAAGTACGATGCTTCTAGATAAGAATATTTCACAGTGTGAAAGTGCAGTTTACTTCCACTACCTTGTAAGTTCTAAAATATACGATCAAAAAACTGCAAGTGAATCAGGAAGGTCAGACATTGAATGGTCTGAAAAGGCACTGATTCATTCCCATGATGATCTTGGTGGATTGAGATCGAGTTCTGGGTACTGCGGCTCCTGGCCTATTGTACCAGCCCCAGATGATGGAAGATGGTTGAGTAGTTGGTGGAATGAAGGTTGGCAAGGGAAACCGAAGTACTCGGAGAAAACCTGCTGCAGTGCCACTTTCCCAACCACGCTAATTACGTGTATTTGAAAAGAAAGTCCCGAAAAAATATTTAGATCTAAGGATGGTGCAAATAACTGATTTAAGGTAGTACATAGTGAGGAAGTAGTGGTTCATACAAGCCGTTTAGTGCTCTCAGGTTAGTGGTATATAGGAAGTTACAATAGGCTCGATTTGTGGCTAGGATGAGAAGTAAAGGATGGGTGTATAATTGATGGGGAAGTCTCTTGGAAAAACCCACTTGGAAGAACTAGAAAATGGTGGATGGATCTGGCCAAGGATCAAGTCCTACGTTGGGCTGCGGTGTTAGTGGTGCTTTGTGGAGTTCTGCTACTGCAGTGTTTGTTAGTAATCCAAATCACAAGCGAGAAATCTACACTACACCATTACAAACTTAGACATCTACTAAGCAGAATTTTTGTCAGGAGTCCATATCACATGTCAGGAATTGACACTGCTATTCAAAATATGAACTACTGCCACAGCTTTTTCAGTAAACTAAATTATAGGTCAGAAATGTACACTACACTATTTGAAGCCCAAACTTCTACCAGTGTTTGTCAGTAATTAAAATGACAGGTCAAATTTACGTGACACCGTTACTGACAAGAACACATTTTCAATTTTTTCCGTCTTTTTTTTTTCGTCTATATTTTGCCCTCTTCCTCATTTAGTTTATTACTTTTCTGCACATATTTTATCAATATCTGGGCTTAATTGACAGGAAGTTTCTTCTCAGATGAATTCTAAATGTGTTGTGGAACAAAATTGTATGACACGGAAAACAGTTGATATTCAAGCGCACCACTTTATCTTAATGCTTGCTTTGTATTCCATTTCCCCATTAAATTGATTTAATTTATTATAGGTAATTTTGTATTGGTTTTGCATTCTCGGGAAAATTTTATATTTTTCAGGAAAAAATGTGTTTTTAATAAACAGCAGGTTGGCATTTTAAATAGATCTCTCTGTGCAAATAAAGAATGTACCGTGCTTCTCAACATATGTGGTAATATGAATTTTTCGTATTTTTGTCATATATGGATAGAGTTCCTAGCTACAGATCCAGAGGTCCCGGGTTCGATTCCCGGCTCTACCAGATTTTCTGAGAAGTAGTTGGGTCCACTCAGCCTCGTGATGATAATTGAGGAGCTACTTGAATGGAAAAATAGTGGCTCCGGTCTATAAACCCGAAATTAACGGCCATGGGGATTCGTTGCGCTCACCACGTGACACCCTCTATCCGCTAAAGTTGGCACTAACTTCGCCGACAAGTGGCGGTCGCTGAGTCGGTAAAGTTCGCTTGCGGACTAAAGCCACTGAGTTTTTCTTATGGGTAGAACAGTTTTGTAGCTGCCATGCCATCTTGCAGTCCACTTAAATTCCCCTAATTTCTTGCAGACAAACCTGGGATCAGAACACTTCCCCAGGAGAGCCAGAGGCTAATAAGGAGAACATCTTTAGCATCCAGGAGCAACAGGATGTAGAATGGCAAGCTCTGGATGTGTTGGTGACAGAAGCAAGCAGTAGGCGGGAAGAGAAGAGTGAACTTGAGGTTGAGGAAGTACAGAACATTGTTCTGAGGAGCGGGCAGAGTCTCACTGTGGAAGAAGAGGAAAAACTTGAGCCCAAGTTACTGTTCTTAACAATGAGCGACAATAAACAGCAGCAGCCACAATTGCAACCACAGCCACCTCCACCACAGCCCCAACAGCAGACAGCTGCAGTTCTTGACCAGAATGGGCAGCAGGTTCAAGTCCAGGTGAGTGTGCTGGAAACCTGTCCATGTCCATTCTGGAAAATGTTAAGTTCTGTACCTCTATGAAATAGGTTAGCCAAGTGCAATTTGGGATGTGTCTGTTCAAATCTCTGATAAGGCATTGAATAGCCTGAGGTTGTTTTTCTCAGGTAGTGTAGTTGGTTGAGGCACTATGCTGCAAGCTGGAAGGCCGCGGGATCGAATCTCGATGAGGTGGATTTTTTTCAAGTTACGTAATTCTTCCAGTTGCTCTATGACCATGGGGTTGACTTAGCTTCTAACAGAAACTGGGGCTAAAGGGCTGTTGGTGCGTAAGGCTGACAACCTCACCGCCACCTACGAGCTGATTGTCTAGAAAATGTGGTAGCCTCAACATCTCACAACTTTATGGACCTGCTAAAGGAATACCTTTACTTTACTTACTTTTATTCCTATAGAAAAGCCTTGATATTACCTTTAAATTTGTCCTAACTGCTTACACACACATAGTTGCTAAAATTCACTATACATTAGAATTAGGATAGAAAGGGGTGGGGTTCGAACCACCCCTGCATTGTGGCTAACAATAACATGTTATATGTCCACGTTATTTACTCCATTCTCTGCCTTGAATAAATTGAGGTGGTTTGCTGTTTGGGGCCTTCTGATAGTCACTAAGGTTCATCGAGTGGGCTCCAAAATGACCTACTCATTCACACCTGAAGGTATAAAATTTATTTCACCAGTAGTGGCTTAATATGCTCATAATTTTAAGAATAATTAATGTCTGATAGTTTGCTTGCTGACTACAGGCCACGGAGTTTGTTATTGATTAGAAGAGCTGCTTAGTATAACTATATTTTTACATATTTATTTGCCACAAAACTCTCATGAAACTGGCCAAACATAACAGGGTACAACTGATATGGATGCCAGGGCATTAGGGTATTGCTGGAAACGAAATAGCAGACCAATTGGCCAAGATTGGAGCTGAACATCCATTCATAGGACCTGAACCAGCCTGTGGCATCTCTATAGAAGTTGCCAGACAGGCAGTCAGGGACTGGACAAATATGAAGCACAAGAAATACTGGGGATTCTTGTCTGGTCTCAGGCAAGCAAAGGGACTCATAGGAGGACCCTCTACTAAAAGAGCGAGGGAACTGTTGAAGTTAAACAGGAACCAGCTACGATGGGTGGTAGGACTACTTACAGGTCACTGTCACCTTAAAGGACACCTCTTCAAATTGGGACTAAGTAACGGTCCGACTTGTGAGAGGTGTCAAGAAGAAAATGAAACAGCGACACATATCCTGTGTGAATGTGAGGCCTTAGCTTATTTAAGATTGCGTCACTTTGGTCAATATTTTATGGAACCAAGTGACTATTTCGATGCCCCCACGTACAAAATCCTGCGCTTTTGTTGTGGGGATAATCAGAAGGGGAGGCACAATAGATCACTGTGGTCAGGGTGCAAGGACCAAGAAGGCCCACCCCTTATACATTCATTCACTCATACACATTTACGAGTATACGAGTAACATAAAGCAGAAATCTAATTAATATTTTTTGGTTAAGCCATAGATGAAAAAAGGTCATTGCCGCTTAGCTCAGTTTATAAAGTTGAGAAGCAGTATCAGAAAAGTATAATTAATATGGTACATCAACCAGAAATAAATTGATTTCTTAGAAATTTAATGACATATCAGTGGCAAAGCCCTTGATATAGCTGGTGGCCAGAACACCTGCTTTTTGAATTTGACATGAATGTCATAGCTTGAGATGCCAGCCCATATGCAGAAATATTGAGCTATTCATGAAGTGATAGCAAGGAGATATCTGGCAGGCTAGTGCATGTATGTGATTGTTTAATATAACGGTTAAAACGCCATTTAAAATTTATTTTTAAACCAATCAAGAGTGTAATGAGGAGTCCACTATAGTAAACAGAAGCATCTGAATTTTTATAGTGTCAATATGCTTGGCTTCAAAAGAATTCTTTGTAATTCTTCAAAGTGAAAAGACATAGGCCTTCAGAGTGGACAGACATAAACACTTTATCTTCATAAAGTCTCTGGTAGAAATTAAAGTTGTAAATGGTGTATGTGTGTATAGTAATATGAATTGATAAATGGTGGCTGCACAATTAACAGAAAGTTTGTAAGATTTGAGGTTTTCACAGCGGTGATTATGGAGAAAGCAGTCTTCTGGGATTTGGCTCCATGTACATGTGGTGTTAACAGACGTTTTGGAGGAACGTCTGCTTGCACCTGCTCTCACTGTCTCTTCGCTTGCGGATTTACTTATTTTCTCCTTCTACCCTGAAGATGGAGGCGATACGTTCCTCCAAAACGTCTGTTAACACCACATCTACACGGTGCCACATCCCAGAAGAATGCTTTCAAGTTATTGTGTTCTTCTGCCTGCTCAAACAAGGCCCAAACAGTTTGAGAGAAGAAAATCTGCTCATGCTGACATAATGGGATCTGGTCATTCAAGTAGTCCCAGAAAGTCATCAAGAGAGGAAGAGGAGTGTAGTAACTATCAAATTCCATCATGGGACTTAACAATAGCATGACACATGTAAGGGCTTTTTTTATTAGAATTTTGACAACTACAAGCAGAATCAGTAGCTAATTCTAATTTTTATGGGTGCCATCTTTGAATGACAGATACCTCTCAGTAATAATTGCACAGATTTTAACCAGTTCTTCTTCAGCTGTATAATACAAATTATAACTACACAAAATCATACAGGTGATCCATCAGGTGTAATGGGCCAGTGGAGCCTGAATCAATAATTTATCATGCTTATATCAGGGTCTGAAAATACAGGATCAGAGGAGATTACAAAATCTAGGGTCCAGTCTAATGGCAGTCATTTGGGATTTGTGGTGGAAGAAGTAGCAGTGTGGAAGACACCTCTCTTAGCATCAACACAGAAATCCTAAATAAATTCAATGCAATAACGAAATATTTTCCTTATGTCTCATTAATAACAACTGCTTTTTTATGTTATGGCAAAGCACAGGAAAATGAATACCTTACTTTACTTTCTAACAGTTTAGCAGTCATTTTATATAACAATTACAGCATTCTTAACACAGAACTGTTGATTAGCCATCCATTCTTATGCGCAGGTCCAGATGACTCAGCAGCAAGCACATGATGGGGCTGGAGCAGCCCCACAGCAACAGCCAGCACAGCCCCAGGCCCCACCAGGGGCTACTGGGCCTCCTCAACATGCAGTGCAGCAGCAACAGCAGCAGCAGCAGCAGCAGCAGGTGGCAGTACACCAACAGCAGCCAGGCACCCCCTCGGGAGTGACTGTGGTTTCATCAGGTGTAGGAGCCCAGTGTGTACAGGTTCCTACCTCTAGCATACAGATGCAGCAGCAGGTACGTAGTTCACATTTTCACCATGTTCTTATGTTTGTAAAATATTTCGGTTATCTTTGATTTTTGGTCTTCTGGGTTGTGAGTTGCAACTTGTGGTACCCTGTAGTCATGTTGGGGGATACTGATGTTTCAGAGTAAAATGATGCTTCCATCTTCAGGATTAAATTGTGCAAGGGAGGAACTGAGAAATGGATTGGATTATGCAAGGGAGGAACTGAGAAATGGATTGGATTATGTAGTCTGTATGAAAGGAAGGTGGACAGTCAGACCTGTGGGAAAGGGAAAGGGAGGACCAGTAGGAACAGTGAACAAGGAAAAGTCCTTTGCAGGGCTACAGTATTTTGGTGCTCTACAATCTTTTACTACCTATAGAATACCCTCAATGTATACATGATGTGACAAACGTTCATATTTGTTATAATTTCTAACTTAAGTAAAATTTGACTTTGTGGAATTGAACTCATAAATAAGCCTAGACTGTCCGTGATGCTCTCATAGTTATGAAAGCGAGTTTGATAAAAAAATCAAGTAGAATTTTGATATATCTTATAGTAGTCATATTTTTCAAACCCCATATTTTTTTAATAAGATTGCATCACATTTGTACAGTATGCGCCACGTGTCGATGGGGCATAGCTCCAGCCGCACATGTTCCCAGTAGTGAAAAGGAAGTTGTGTAGTGCACTTGTTGAAAATGGGTCTCTCGATGGAGGAAAAAATATTCATAGTTGAGTATTATTTCCGCTCATATGGAAGTGGTCGCCAGACAACTCGCTTCCTTGGTTTTGAGCAGCCAGATGTTATCGTCCAGAAACCGTTACATGTACACCTGTGACGATATGGTGTGCCATCTCAGCACACAGTATATTAGGCCCATATTTCATTGAGGATGAGGAAGGCGATGCTGTTACCGTCACCCAAGAACACTACAGGGACATGGTGATCAGACCATTTCTTCAGGATTTGAGAAGGTTCTGTCATGCAAGGGGCCTTCACATGAATAGACAGTGGTATCAACAGGACGTCTTTTCATTTCATTACTGTATTTTGGCGCATACTGTGTTTTTATTTCTACCTATATATTTCATGTTTTTGCAATAAATTGTCATCATTTGGTGGTATAGACTCATATGTTCAACATCCATGTACAGTCTGTCATGGTCAGCTTAAGCTAAGCTACAACTTTATGTTGTAAATTAATTATGAATATTCATAGTAGTATTTTTGGTGTTTTCCTGTTTGGTGAGTACCTGTGGTTAGTTGATTCAGTACACTGTGTCTTGGAGATAAGGACCAGTATGTTGATGTTATGTAACGTGTCCTTGAAGACTGATTGATGTAGTAGAATGTGTGTCTTTGAAAGCAAGGATTCAGTGCTGGCTGTCATAGTGTAAATGTCCTTGAAGGTGGATTGATAGATAAGTGAAGTTCAATTAAACGTCTGTGTATTAAGTCCGTCAATAATGCAACAATCATTAATATATTCACTATTTAACACTAACACAACATGTTTTGGCCACAGACGGCCATCCTCAGGTGTTTTGATGCGTCCAAACTGTTACACTGCTTTGGTGTGTGTGCTAAAATTGCGCATTGCGGTCAACTTAAAATAACATAAATAATTACCTAAAATTCATTAAGATTTTTCTATTAAAATTTTTCGTAAAATCCTATTCCACCTCGTAAGGGGCGTCATCCACTTATTTGGAGCTATGTGATATTCAAATCTGACTCTCTTTTCTCCTTCCTTCACTCACTTTTTCTCCTGTTAATCTCCTTCCCCGGTTTTATTTTCTTTGCCTTTTCTCTCTTCCATGCCCTTCTGCACTATTTCAGCTTTAATGTTATAATACTACTACTGCTATTACTACTACTACTTTTCTCTCATCATAATTTCCTCTTTTTTGTTTTCTCCTTATCCATTGATCTTATTCTTCTTAAACTTCTCTTCCTCCTGTAATGACACGACCCACACAGTAGTATGCTCAAAGTCTGAATGGGATATTTTATTTAAATTTTTCTTCAGTTAAATATCTGTATTAGGAGTGTGACATCAAAGTAAATTATTGTCATTAAATGGGAGATAATATCAGCTGACTTTGGTAACAGGCTTATTGTACTGCGTTGTTACACTGACAGAAATGTAGAAAATGCTGTGAGTAGAGAGATGTGTTCTAATTAACACTGTAGTTGACACGTCACAGTGGTAGTTACTGATGACAAAACATGGCAGTAGACCTGTGGAGCTGTAATTAACATTGCAGTTCTTACCAATGGCAGTTCATGAACATCTGAAAAGGGGATGTCAGAAACAAATAAAATTTACCTCCCTCCCATGTTTACAATTACAGAAAGAGAAGACTTTCATGATCTTATTTAAATGTTGACATTTTAAGACTTTATTCCGCATTTCTCCATTGGCTTCTATTCATGTATGGTATTGTTGTAGTAAAAGCTAAAGTTATCCCTGGGCTTAGTTAATTGTCACACCATCAATATGACTGGGGGACTTTGGCACTAGATGGAGGTGAGTGATCACATTCATGGCCCTGCTGCTTCACCTCCAGGGATGCAGCGCTTGGTATCATACACACTGTATAGGAGGCGGGGTGAGTCACAGAGCCAGCCTGGACATTATGGAAAGAGAAAAATATCTTATTTCTTCTAGGAATTGAACCCTGACTCCTCATTCATCCATACTATTGCCTAGTCATTATATCAACTCAGCTACCTTGGCTCTGAAATGATATTATTTTCTGCTGGCATAATATCACCTTTGAAATTACTGATAACACTACATTGTATTGTATTGTATTGTATTGGAGAGGGTGGGTTTCTCCATGCACTTAGACCAACTGTTGGTCCATTGTGCGTCCCCATATGATATTCTACCAGTCTCTATTCCCTACCAGTACTGGTGCGTGCCATCAGTTCCGACTCAGCCAGCGAGTTCAACCTCTACTGGCTCAGCGGTATCTCAATGCTTCCCCCATCTACCAGAGGCGTTAGAGACTACTGTTGGGTGGGAAATGTCCTGAATTTAGCTCAGTGGTCCCCTTGGGACATGAGGTTCTTTTACATGCCGTAAAGCTACGACATGGGACCCACGGCTTAAAGGCCCTCCCGGAGGACTTGTTTCCTGAATTTTTCCGCCCTTAAAAATTCCACGACCTCTGCCAGGTTTGAACCCGTGCACCTTGAGTCACGAGGTGGGAACGTTACCCCTAGACTACGGAGGCCCCTTGATAACTCTACATAGGCCAGCACTTAGTGGTTTCTAATGAACTTCAACATTATTAGTGATTCAGGCCGTTACTTGAAATAATGTATGTGAGGAAGACAAACACACAGAATCGTACAAAGTTCTGAAGGGCTAGAATCTTAGCACCCAAGCAGCAGTGGAATATTGTTGTGAGGGAAAGACATGACATCTTAAGTGTGATAAGCTAAGTTCTATTTAAGTTATTGTCTGCATAGACTCCCAAACCTACCTTGGGCAGAATTTCTTGGGGGCTTTCTATCTTTGTTTTTATTTACTTGTTACTAATGTCATTACCAGTAATTCTTTTCTTGCAGTTTTTCACTGTATTTGGCATGCATTCTTTTTTCCTCCATTGGAATGACAGTGCACTATTTGTTATTCCATAGGCCTGAAGGAAGAATCATATTCAGTTTTGCTTTGTGTGTCCTTAAATTAATGGAATGTTAACACATTGTGCACGCTTTCATGTCATGCAATAGGATTGTAGTTAACTGAGCAAGCCAGTGAGTTGTTGAAGCACAGTGTACTGATGGCTGACTTTTGTGTTTCCCTACAGCAGCAGCAGGCTCAGCAGTCAGTGGCAGCAACCATGCAGACCCAACCAGTGATAGCGCCAGCCCCAATGCCCTCCCAGTCTGGTACAACCACTATCACCACCATGTCTACATTGCACCAGCCTTTGCAGCATCCGATGCCACCCCCCACACCTCAGCCTCTGGCCCAGCACCCAGGAGTGCCCCATTCTGCTCAGATGCAGCAAGTTTCTGAGTGGGGACATGGCCGGGTGAGTCATCTTGGTGTTACAGGATCCTAATTACTATATATTGTGGTGTGCCGCATAAAAGCCAGAATATCTGAGTCAGAGTTGGCGTCCATTGCTAGACAGTGGCTCAGTAATCACTTTCCTGCATCGTTGTCTGGGTGACAAACATGTAAACGTGAAAACGCATACATAACAGACCGTTTCACGTTATCGATGCACTGGTAGCTATTGTATTTGTTACCATGGGAATTGCACTAGTTCTGGTTTTCATTTGTGTGGTAACTGTTATGTATGCATTGTACCGTGAACATGTTTGTTGCCCAGACGGTGATGCAAAAATGTGGCTACTGAACCATTGTCTAGCAATGGACGTCCACTCTGACTCAGATATTCCTGCTTTTAGGTGGCATGCCACATTGCTTCCTCCTTAAGGCTGTTCATCTCGAGCAGCCTAACGGTGTATCACCATTCTTTTTCTTCCGAGGGCTGTGCTTGGAACATCCTCTTTTTCTCTGGTTCAGTATTTCCTCTCGTTGGTTTTTTTTCTTTTTCGGGTTGTGATGAACATTCTCCATCTGCTACTACCGCTCCCTCTTCAAGTGCTGTCGTCCTGAGCAGCACCCTGTTAATTTTACAGATAATCCATGTGACCAACGTCAACTTTTATTGTCCTTCAGTCATTCCCATTTGTGGGGGCGAAACTGTCCACAGTCACCAGTGCTCCCACATCTTCGGCTTATCTTATGCCAGCTATGTGAGTAGGCTCTTCAACTGTTTTGGAGGTGGCTGACTTTTCCACGACATTCAGTTCTTGATGTTTCATAACGTGACAGATGATCCACCTGCTTGCTTCCTGAACTCCAGTCTGATGGTTTTCCCAAAGACCTCACTACTGTTTCCCATCTTTTCCAGTCATGGCTGCTGTCTTCTGCTCCATCCTCCAATACGGTTGGCGGTTTTTCTTCCTTTCCTCAGATGTAGCAGCTCCTTATGCCCTTGCTGCATTCCAGTTTTGGCTGATATCTCCTCATGAATGTCCATCCTCTTCGGATCTCTTGTACCACAGTGGCCCTGATACAGTCTTTTCTGGCTATGTACCTCTTGCGCCATGCCACTGTGGCATGGTGGGTCATCTTCCTGCAGGCGATGTTCACTCTCTTCTGGGATTCACAATATTCTCGGGTCCTTCCTTTGGCTGACCATATATATATAGATGTATGTACCAGTTCTTTAGAACAAAGAATTTTCATTCTGTCTGGCAGCCAAACTTCAGTGCTCAACTTTCAGTGCAGGAAGAAGTTCTTCCCCATAGGTAATCTGTCATTAATTTTTGTTTACACTGCCATGACAGTGTCACAGATGAACTCAGTTGTGTTGTTTGTCACAGAAAGGACTAATTAATATTAACAGTTTAAATAATTGTTATCTTGATAGAACTTCTTACAGCACAGAATTAAATCCACATTTTTATTAATTAATATATAAGGTCATTACAGATGGGTCTTTCAAGACATTGTTTATGGTTTACAGCCTTTTGTGCAGAAGGATTATTGTAAAAAGGAGAGGGTTTTTGTAAACCAAGGGAATTGTCACTGTTAGGTTAAACCTGTTACTGGGTTTAAGATTTGTTTTGATTATCAGCCTGCACAACAGAAAGTATGTAGGTGCTGAGTATTTTGATTGCTGACTAGTGCACTTTAGGTCTGTCTAATGTGATGCAAATATAATAGTGACTATAGCTCTGTAAGAAGGCACTTCCAGGCTTACACAGAGAATGTTTTGGCACTCTTGTGTTTGTCTGTGAAGAACAGAAAGGCACTCTATACACCATATGTACCTGCATAATAATTCTTCCTTCTTCCACTTCTGGGGATGAGAGTGATTACTGTATATCCTCAGTTCTGTATAACATTTCCATTTGCTTTCCCAGTGTATGCCTCCATCTGGTGGTGCACTAGCAGACTTTATGTTATACATCTTGTAGGTGCAAGTAATCCAGCAGCCCTTGCAGAACCCAACATACCTGCAGCAGCTGTACAATACCCAGGGGCAGCTGTTGATGCCCAGTAACCTACAGCTACATGCAACTGGAATGAATCCACCCTCCATCCATGTAAGTGTGCATTTTCCTTCTGTACTGGACATACATTGGAAATGTTACACAATTAAACTGATTTTATTACTTACTGAGAATTCTTTTATGGCCGTGTCATATGTGCATGTTGAGGAATAACTGGCTGAATGCGGTGCTCGTGCACAGGAGAGCTCATTTTTACAGGTAATGTACTTCTTGTCTCTCCACCTCATTACTTCAGTGTCATTTGATTAAGATTTTTGAGTAATTTATCATTTAAAATTACTGTGATTGACTGATAGTCAGATTGCTCTAGGGCTAATAACATACTAGTAATGTGAAATTATAGAATACCCTGAAGCAGAGTTTATAGATTTAAGAAAATTGCTGGCAGTCACATGAAAAGGAAAGGATGTTACACAAAAGGTGCTGAGTGAGGATATACATTTGTATAAAAAAATTAATCCATTGAAATATTTCACAGTGATATGGTGTTCATTGACAGTTATTGAACTTGTTTTCAGACAGCAGAATAATATGGCAGCACACACCATATAGACTGTGGAATGTTTGCTGGGTAATCAGTATAGAAAACTATGGACACTGGAGTTGTAATTTTTTTTGTCACTCTTAATCTCAAAAGCAGGAATTATGGAAGTGATCTGCACATTTTTTTTTTTTTAAATTAAGTATGGGCTGTCTTGTAGAAATCAGAAGAAGTAAACTTCAGTGTTAAATATAGCAAAATTTCAAATAAATATGAATTGGGCGCTGCATGGCAATGTCAGTGCTGTTCTGCAGGCAGTGTAGTGGTGATTTAAATACAAACTTGAGGGATTGTTGAAAGGAGCAAGAATTTCTCTTCATGGTCCCTGTGAAACATCAATTGTATTCAAGTGTTCCTAAGTATAGGGCACTGTTTATGCCACTGACAGGGTTAATGTTATCATTAATTTATAAGAATGCTTGTGTTGCTACCATAGATGATTTCTCTCAGACACTCCACAGAACAATTGTTACTAAACTTCTGTCTGTTGAGTACTCCTTTCATAATTATTTCTATCAAATCTCGTTTGTATACCATACGAAGAGAAAAAAATATTAGGATCCTCACATGAGTGTTCATTTTCCACCCACCTGTTTTACTACTTTCAAACTCCTATATAATCATTTATGAAAAGTGTTAATTTCCAGGCTTTGCTCTAATACTGAACCCCAGAAGTTTATCAGAATTTCCTTAGTTTACCGATGAGCCGGCTTTGCTCAGAGCACTGAACCCCATAAGTTTATCAGAATTTCCTTCATTTACCAATGGACCAAGCATTTCAGGTCCTTTACAGCATAATCTCATTAAGAGTATGTGTTCAGTTCAGTCAGAGTGAATGATGTCCCCTTAGTTGTTACTTTGATTACCAACACAGAGTTTGGGGAGCTTGGCGAGTTTTCAATTCACGGCGACTACCGCTACCAAACCAGGTGGCAATGCAAGTGGAACTCCTCTGGTGCCAGCCAAACTGACAGCAGCTACATTACCAGCCACGGCAGCACAGGTTACCCACCCATTCATATAGTTGCTTACCTCTGCCTTGCATTCCAGTGCCATGAGTGATGGCAGTTTTCAGACATTACTGAAGATCATTTCGTTAATTAAAAACTGGCGCAAAACTCTTTCCCTTGTTCTCACTATGATATGATAAATATTGGTAAAAAGAAGTTAATTTGTGTAAATTTTTAATGATGACTTGCTCTTAGTCTGAAATGAAAATGACTGAAATCACACCATTTAGAAACCACTTTAAAGAGTTTAGTGTTGCTCATGTTGTTTAATTTGCATGTGAAGGTGTAGTGTAATGGTGTTAATTTGTGACAGAAGAACTAGCTAGAAGCTGTGAAATTACTGCTCTGTATTCTCTTTACAGAGTTTCAGAGAATGTAACTTTTGACACAAAAAAAATCAGTGTTTCTTTCTTGTATGTGAATTTGGTTTAACAGTCCTTTTAGAAATAATTAATTTGAAATCTGGCTGGTGAATAATCTAGAAATATAAGGGTCAGACTGCTGCTTCTTTATGCAAAAATACCTGAAGGTTAGAATCAGTCATTTTGAAGGTTGTGAAGCCTTGCTGAAGTTGTAGGACGTTAGTGAATCAATCAAAACATATTGCAGATTCCCACTCTGTTGTAAATGCATTACAGGGACACTGGAATGTTGTTTTGACCTGTTACCCACTGTAATATCCTGTACACCTCTTTTGGGGCCTTACTGCGGTGAAGCTTCGCTTGAGTTTTCCACACAGCACAACTGCATCTCATTCTTCTTGTGCCAGGTTAAGGAGTCAAGGTTTGTTTCATGGATGTAGATGTTACATATTATGATGAATTGTCACATGTGTTGCTGAGAAATCTCACAACCAAAACCATGTGATGATACTGGTATTAGAAAGCACCAAATTTTAGAATGGGGCCCGTTTTTAATACAGATGCTTTGTTTCTCAATTGAACTAAATAATATCTGTTATTCTCTCTACCCAAAATAAGAATTTTAACACTAACACAGAATAACAAATGTAGCATTATTATGAGTGAGAATATACCAGGGCCACATTGCAGAGCAGAATGTGCTGTGTTGGATCTGCTTATGGAGGCGTGAACACATGCTGCCGTTGCTTGGATAGTGGATGCTGGTTAACTCGTTGGCTCGCTTGGTTGCATTGCATTACACTGGTTTGATCTCATGGCTTGTATGAACTGAAGGTGTTCGGCATCTGCATCCTTGTGCTATGATCTTTTAAGGGGCTGTAAATTGATTCTTTAGGAAATTATTATTTATTGTCCGACATATTTGATAAGTATATTGGGTCTGCTCCCATCTTCTGGTGATTGGTTATCACACACACAGATATTACGCTGTACTTGTTTCTTTTGTATTTTGTACCAGTTTCATTGGGCTTCCAAGTAGAGTGGCAATCCAGGACAGTCTGTGCAGTCGATCGCCAAATTTAGACTTAGAGAAACATTTTAAGTGCAGCCTAGCCCAGACAGTAAATGGACATAGAGTAGGCAGGTGGGGAAACCGAAATGTGGAATTTAAGAGTTGGTTTCAACACCGTGAGTGAGAGGCTTATAATGTTGTACTATGAAGAAACATAGAGATTGTACAATGCAAGCCTGAAGTAATTTATCATGTTACTGTGTGGATCCAGATTTATTGTGAGTGAGCTTATAACCCCTCTCCAAAGTAAAAAGATAAAAAGCAGTATCATAATTTTGTTGAATTGTACTTATGTTTATGTCTGCAAGACTGTTCTGAAATAATGTGATGACAAAAACACAATCTCTCCAGGTGTGTAACTGTGGTTCTTCAGAGCAAACAATACAGTATTTCAGATCTAAAAGTTTGTGATGATAGTTTATTAATACAATTGTTGAGTTTTGGATATCATCCTGTTTTTTATTTAAAACAGAGTTTCGGAGACTGGATTCTATCGCTATCTGAGTGAGTAGGCTTTTTGCCTGAAGGTGAAGACAGAATCCAGTCCCCAAAACGTTGTTTTAAATAAAAAACAAGATAATGGATAATGTCCAGAAACTTGATAATTGTAGTACTATAATTCCACAACATGAATGTTGCTTTTGTTATATTTTCTCGCCTAATTTTGGGCTTCAGTTTTGCCTTTTCTTTTTTGTTTTGGTTCACTTGTTTGCCAAAGAATTCAGTAACCAGTATTTGCTGATATTCTTGGAAACATGTAAACAATGTTTATGGAGAAGGAACATTAAATAATGATATTTCCCCAACACCATTTCAGTTTCAAAGCAATTTTAACCTTATTTTCAAGTGTGTCGGTGTCCCCCATAAATGTGTTTGCTGATGTTTCTACTGTTGGAAGTCTGGTGTATTTCATCCTGCTGTTGAGAAAAGATGGACTGAGGACTGAATATATAGTTATGCTGTTGTTTAATGAAGATTGTAAACTATGCTGTGGTTAGAGCTTCCAGTAAATGTGTGTGTTTCTTGTAGGTAATCACTGCTGGGAAACCCTTCCAACCAAACCAACTACCTCCACAAATGATCACTACTCAGAAGTCTGTGCTTCAGGGACAAGCTGGTAAGTGGCTGCCAACATGGAAACTTAAATAAGTTGCATTGCACATGTGTTACATGTTATTTTGTATATCACAGCTTCATTCCCTGGGTATGCAACAATTCCGACCACTACAAACCAGACACTAGTGATCAGCCAGTTGGGTGTGATAAGCAACCAACCCAATATTCTGCCTGCCCACTCAGCCAGTACTGGTGCTGCAAAACCTACTGACATGCAAAAGGTAACTTTTATTGCCCTTTCTCACATCCTATTTATGGAAAGTCACCCTTAGCTGAACTTCATTTATTTTGTTATCTTCCCATTGATTTGCATTTCATATATCTCATTTGGTAATATACAATGAAACCAGTGGCATGCAGTACTATTTTTGGTAAGGGAAGCAGTGGTATCTTAATAAACGAACTGATAGCAATCAACTCGCCAAAATTTATTTGAAGACCAAATCTATTCTCCGGTCTTTAGTGGCAAAATTTTTGATGACGTGGTCTGTTTTAGAATACTGGTCCAAATTAAATTTCCTCAAACATAATTTGGTATGTGCTTTAAGTTCTGGCAACTCGCATATCGGTCATCCTTTTTCTATAAGTATTTTCTTTTCAGAAAAGTCCCTGCTATTAAACCCCCGTTTTAAAAGGCTTTCAACTGCACAGTAGCAGTCGCAGTGTCTGCCAGCATTCATTTTAGCTATGCCCTGTGCATGTAGTCTGATCACTCCCCTGCCACTTGTACCACAATATCACACTTGCTTCCTTTAAACGCATATAGCTTCTTTCTGTTGCATCAAAATACAATCTTACACCATGTAAATATGCACTTACAATATTTTAATAAAACTTAATGTTACCTATAACACCCAACAAGACTGAAATCACACATAAACAGTTAATTTTCACATAACCATCAAAAGAACACATTCCTTCGCTTCTATATCACAGGCCTAGCCAGCGAACTTAAATTTGCTTCCCTGACCACTTCGGGTGGGATGAACTCGTATGAAGATTAACAAAAGGAAACATGGTCCCCCCCCCCAAGCAGGGGAAGGGAGAAGGCATGTGGCCAACATGACAGTATTCATATCCTTATTATTCAAATTGAATTATTTATATATGACTTCTTTTCTTTTCATTTCTTAACTACGGAAGCAGTGCTTCCCTTACTTCCATGTACGGCATGCCACTGAACGAAACTTGACTTGGATTAAATGCAGAATGGCCTTCAGTGGAAAATTTCACCAATCCTGAAAAGCATGCTTACATATGAAAGCCTAAGGCTTTCCATTTCTCTTGCATTCAGAGACCTTGATGAAATCTATTCTTGTACCCTGATGGGAACTGTCATGGCTTGCAAGTGGGGTGCAAGCTGAGTACAGTACCCAGTAAAGGAGCTATGAGGGTCGTACTGAAAGTCATGAACAACAGTAGTTTGTAAAGTAACATGCTTTATTATTGACAAACCACATACACCACCTCAATCTACAGACCTTTCTTTATTTGTCCGCATAATCGCCACTTCTTTGTACACATTTCTCCCAGTGTTCTGGGAGTTTGAAGATTCTCCTTCTGTAAAATTCCGTTCCAGCCATCTGAAGACACTGACACACTGCTTTCTGAATTGCCTCCCTTGTATCAAAACGTCTATGCAGCTGATCCTTCACAAATCCAGAAAGATGGTAGTCGGAGGGTGCCAGATCAGGGCTATAGGAGGGATGTGGAAGAACTTCCCACCCCACATTTGCAATTGCTTCCAATGTGAGGCGAGCAGCGTGGGGGTGAGCGTTGTCATGCAGGATGATGATGTTTCATCCTGGACGTTTATCGCGCAGTGCATGACGGAGCTTGTGCAGCGTGTGGGCATAATTAGCACCTTGATGGTTTGCCCAGGTTCCAGGAATTTGGCCAGAATAAACCCCTCTGCATCCCAGAAGACTGTGCCCATCACCTTCGCAGCTGATGGCACTGTCCTTGCCGTCTATTTTGATGGAGAATGCAAATGGTGCCATTCCATACTCTGCCGTTTAGTTTCAGGCTCGAAATGGTGAAACCAGCTTTTGTCACCTGTCACAATACAGAGCAAAAATCATCGCCTTTGTGTCGATATCTCTGCAGCAGTTCTGAGGTGATGGCTTTTCGCTGACCTTTATGGTCTTCGGTCAATAACTGCGGGACCCAACGAGCACAAACTTTCCTATAGCCAAAGCTTTCAATCATCTCCTGTACTGCATTGTGCCCTATTCCAAGTTTTCAGACTGTTGTGTTCACAGTCACACACCTGTCATCTTGAATGATCTCATCCACTCTTTCCTTGCTGCGTTCAGTTGAGGCTGTTCGAGGACGACTGCTCCGAGGCTCATCTTCGATGCTAGTGTTCCCATCTTTAAAATGTTTCACCCATCTTTGAACACTGCTTGCACCCATGCACACACTTCCATAAGCACGCTGAAGTCTCTGGTGAATTTCTGCAGCAGGGATTTCCTCTTTCACAAGAAATTTGATGACGGCACACTGGCGAAATGACATATGGTTGTCGGCCATTTTGTTAGGAGTGATACTGGTCACGTGATGCAAGCTGTTAACGTCGCAAGACAGTCAAGGTTAACACAACAGCTGGTTCCACTTACCACCATACTTGCTTTAGTCTGCTGTTCCCAGGTTGCATGCAAAAAAAAGTTGCTTATGACCTTCGGTATGACCTACGTACATGGATACAGGCATGTGTTTGGTGAGGTAAAGTAACAATTGTACACATTGTGTTGGTTGCTGTTATAGTACACAACATGCGGTGGAGGTCGGACAGTGCAACAAAGCTCACAGCCAGTGCAGTTCTCACCATGGCAGTTTGCTGGCACATCTCTTCCCCAAGGAATCACATGGGCTACAGCTGCGCCTGGGGGAATTCAGTCCCCTACAGCGCTCCTGACAGCTCCCAATCCAATCTTTATTCGAGGACAACAAGATGGCACTGGAATGTTCATTCAGAGCCCACCCCCACAGATTCAGTCTCACAACCGTACGTGTTCCCAGGGAAATGACATTTCCATTCATTCACAATAAATTCAGTTGATATTGTTTAATGGACAAGTAGTTTGTGGGAGTCTGCTTCATATTGTTATTCAGATGGATTCAAAAACCTCAGACTGTGCTCAGAGAAGTTCCATTTATAGCTACTGAAAGCATTAGTTATGACTGAATGATTTTGCCCAGAATCATGTTCTGTAAGGGCTGGAACACACAGCGACATTGGTTATATGACGTCCGTACAGTTCATGTTGCATAAAGTAGTAGAACATAAAGTGTAGTCTTAGCTTTCATATGTGACGACATGTGACAGCTACCGTCCGAAAGTCAGAGAGTAGAGAACTGTATTTGGTTGCCCTAGTGTGAAAATGAATTTTTCTGTACAACCGTTGTTGCTGTGTATGTTCCAGCCCTATTTGTTTCCTGCACCAGCTTTCATCAGACATAAAAAATATGCAAGTCAATTCTAAAAACACTGGAATATTACAGTTAGTATTACGGACTCTGTATATTGTCTCAGTATTCCAAACTGAACACAGTGTTTCAGTGGCTGGATCTGTTTCCATCTCTAGAAGAAAAGTTGGGGAAGTACTTGCACAGTTAGGTCAATCCCAGAAGTAACTGCTGATGCCTTCAGTACTTATTTCCTGACAATTACTGAAAATCCTAACTTGCATCAGGAAGTAATAGGTGATGTCATTGCATTTTTAAAAGAGGCATTTCCTAGAAAATTCCCTGGTATTGAGACCATTTCAACCACCAATTTCATCTTCTTTGCATGATGTGCACAACATGAACACATTTACAGCCGGTCTTGTCTCTGTGGTCCACATGTTTCAACTCTAAAATCATTGGGTCAGTTCTAATGAAATTTAATATGGTATGGGTACCCAACCTTACATGGTGCTATCAACATGGTAGACACAGACTTACGAGGTGGGAGTGACAGTAGTTACACTCAGTGTAAAATCCTGAAGATCTATATGGCAACAGATATATGATAAAAATATGTAGCTTTTGTTTTGTTTGTTTGTTGATGTATCCAGTCATGCAAGTACTATTAAGCAGGCACAATCATTGTTTTCTTGTGGTACCACTGTAGGTACAGATGGCACCACTTGCTTTCCTGTTAGGTGACACAGGCTCCAAAGCAAATGACATTGACCACTGACAGACTTCAGATTTTAATTCTGAACTCTATTAAATATAAACAGTGGTTGGTAGTCTCATAAGGTCACAATTGTAGATACATTACAATAATTTGAGATTAATATGGAATATGTATGGTGAATATTGAGGGCTGTGAATGAAATGATTGGTAATTGCAAGAATTTGTTGAGTATTCAGAGTTGTAACACTTGAACCAATAGATAATGCTGCATGATCAGTGTTTGAATAACATAGCCAGTTGTTTCAGTCCTTTGGTTCATATAGAGCCATACTAGAACCTTGTGTTTGCAGCTACACTGGCAACACCAACTGCAATGCCTGGTGTGCAGCAGATGACAGGAAAGCCAAGGCAGACCATGGAGATGCCTACTAACATTCAGCCAAAGGCAGCTGTTCCACGAGCCCTGTCCAGTATCCTGCCATCTATGACAGGTTCCCCCATCCGCCCAGCCAGCTCTGTCTCTACTCAGACAGGTGGTTCTACACAGATGAATGCCACCTCAACACAAGTACAAACACAGAAAGCACAAACCAAGGTTTGTTTATTAAATTATGGTACAGTTGAATATCATGATTATTTTTAGGCCAGGTTTGTTTATCAGTGTATGTTAAAAGCTGAATAAAACAAAACTCACTGAAGAGACTTCAAATACAGTATTTTCAAGGTACTGTAATTCTTGATTTTAAGGGAGAGTATTTAGTTATGATATCCTAGGAGGAAAGGTCAGTATTCTGGGAGGCCATAGTATCGGTCATTCTGACACATGTACATTTACACTTTATTGGAAGGAATATTAACCTTTCCTCCTGATACACTCTGTAGGGCCTGTATGAAGTAAGAATGTGTGTAAGGCTTCTTCAATGAAATAAGTTTACTTGCATCAGAGCAAAGAAAAGTACAGTAAGTATATGGGTGTGGTATACGAGGGTAAGTTAATAAGTAAGTTACAAATGGATATAGAACTGAAACAAATAAGAGTACTGAAGAAAGCAGTCTTCTGGGATTTGGCACCGTGTATATGTGGTGTTAACCGACATTTCGGAGGAACGTATCGCCCCCATCTTCAGGGTAGAAGAAAAAGTATAAGAATTCTGCAAGCGACAACACCGTGAGAAACGGTAAAGCTGCTTTACCATTTCTCCCGGTGTTGTCGCTTGCAGAATTCTTATACTTTTTTTTTCTTCTACCCTGAAGATGGGGGCGATACGTTCCTCCGAAACGTCGGTTAACACCACATATACACGGTGCCAAATCCCAGAAGACTGCTTTCTTCATAGTCACTGCCGTGAAAGCCTCAAATCTTTTTTTTTTTTTTTCAACATAATCTCCCTGTACATTGAGGCACTTGTCCCATCGTTTCACAAGCCTCTGAAAACCAGCAGCATAAAATTCTTTGGGCTGATGTTGGAACCAGGCAGTGACTTACCTACAGAAGGGTAACTATAGACACTATAGCTGCTGCTATTGGTTGTTCACACAGCGTGGCCTACCTCATAATGCATGACAGGTTAGGTTTTCACAAAGTCTGTGCACAATGGGTGCTGCGCATGCAGACCCCACAACATAAAATGCAAAGAATGGGCCTGGCATTACAGCATCTCGATCATTACCATGATGAAGGAAATGATATGCTAGCCTGAATTGTCACGGGTGATGAGTCTTGCTCAAAGCGACTTCCATTTGTTTGGCCCTCTTAGACACCATCTCTCAGCTCAACATTTTCCTGATGATGAAGATGTATAAAGGGAAGTCACCACCTGGTTCAACAGCAGCCCAAACAATTTTATGCTGCTGGTTTTCAGGGGCTTGTGAAACAGTGGGATAAGCGCCTCAATGTGCGGGGAGATTATGTTGAGAAATAAAAGCATTTTTCAAACCATTACTCTTATTTGTTAAGTTCTGTATCCATTAGTAACTTACTTATTGACTTACCTACACATTACTGAGGCATATATGAAGATTTGTAATTATTTGTAGGATTTGAGGCTCTCACAGAGGTGGTTATAAAGAGTTCTATCTCCTTGGTTAAAACAGTATAATATGTTGAAAGTCAGCAGTGTTCCTCTGAAACCTAACTGATGTCCAACAGACTACATGACATTATATCCCAGAAGACAGAACCCTTCTTGCAATTATTTGTTCAGTAAATTAGTTCTTTTTTCATGATTTTCCTGAGGACATTATTTGGGTTAAGAGTTTGTCCTAGATTTTAGGTGAATGCCTAAGGGTTTACTGTGTTTGCATGTAGATGGTTATATGTATATATCACATGGGTCCTAGAGAGTAGGAATATGGGCAAGTCAGATTGTAATATATCATTCAGAAATTCACTACAGCTAGAAAGCATTAACCATGCACCAACCACCACAACAGATTAACTTATGTTTCTTTGTTAAAAAAAAGTAGCATTGAGACAGTGCGGTTAAACAGATAATACTTGTTCTGATCTTCAGGTACGAACAAAGCTTGCTGTGAATCGCACCTCTCCTGCGCCAGGTGCTGCCACACAGAAAGCAGATGCTGCCAACCAAACAAAACCTCAGGCAATAAGTCCTGCATCTCAGGCCCAACAGATGGCTGGCACAAAGTGAGTTGTTTTGGTACAGGATGGCACATCCGAATTTGCGATTGTTGTGATAGGCATCTTACAGTGTCTGAACTGTACTAGTCTCCTAGTCTCCTCGCACAGTTATGTTGCATCATCTGATTGATATTTGTGTTGATCATCAAATGATTACTGCATCTTAGTACTGACTGGATTAAGTAGCCCATAGTATTTTTGGCATATCTTATCATGGTGGTTCTTAAAGTTTTTGGGCTTGTTATATCTTGGAAACAGTTAAACCAAATGTCAGGATCCCATAGGAAAAGTACTTATGAAATGCACACAACTAAATTCCTTAATTCTCTTATAATACATACTCGTATGAACAGTGTTCGCCTTTATGCCTGTCACATGTACAAGCTTATTCTGAATTACTGAAATTAAAAATAATACCCTCATACAAGAATTTTTAAGTTGGAATGCTGAAAAGTATGGATGAGGATTTATGATATTGATGGCAAGTTGCTTTTGTAGCCTAAAGAGTATCACTTTCCACTGTGGGAAACATTGACACAGCTTGTTATCCCACAATTGTGTCAGATGTATACAGGTGAGGTATATTTAATATTCAGTGTTATACACAGCTGGATCCTTTCCTCTCACTGGGTATCTTTAGTTGATGGGATGTCATTATACTGATAAATAAAATTTTTATTTGTTTTGGTTTTTCATATTAGTGGTGATAGCTGGGAGTGAACCAGAATCCTTTGAGTACAAATCCTCACTTAGCATACCGGTTTAGAATTCAGAGGTGTGTGGGCCTGGTCATGGCTGCTACCAGATTATATACAGGTTTATTTTGGGAGCAATGGGTTTTAATTCTAAACTGAGGAGAATATCAAATGGATGTAATGTTAACACTGAGATCATTGATTTGGGATCACTGAAATTGAGTGTTAAATAAGGAAAACCTTAAACAGAGATTCCTCTATATATGTTCTGTCTCTGTATGGAGTGTTTGATTATGTATACAGTAGTTATATATAATGCCCTTGTACAGACAATTTTTTAAGTGTATGTATACAATAGAATCTCCTTTTTATGTTCTTTAGTTTAATTTTTCTTCATCATTTAATGCTGCATTTTAGTGATCCAAATCAGTAGTCTCAGTGGTAAAATTACCTCAATTAACCCATTGCCGTGGTTCGACGTGTATGTTTCGTCAGGGATTTAAATCGTCTGGGGGGGTTCGACGTGTATGTTTCGTCCAGCTGCACACCTATGTTATAACGCCCATAATAATTGATGGTTTTGCTGTAGATTGTTAGATTTTTCGCTGGCCTGTTGTCAGTAGAACAGAGTATAAATAAGACACGACTTTATCTGCGCCAAGTCATCGTTACATATGCCTGTCTTGCAGCAAAGTTCCTGTGGCTCTGGCGAGCGGTTTCTACGTCGTACGCTTATGAAAGGCGTGTTTTCTTTGCTTTGAAGATATAAACAGCAGAGACGTGATGTTTATAATATAATATTGCCCTGAGCTGGCGACAATAACACACTCAATTGGAATTCTTAGAAGAGGGATATCCAAACCTTTATTCTCGCATGATCCATTGATTTCGCACAGTACAAAGGCCCAGTTCTTAGAAAAACGCCACAATTTAAGGCAGAACACTGTGGTCACCCCCTGAGACGATACGGATGTGTGTGGGGGAGGGAAAAGAACTCATTCCTTCATGTATTATCGCTCCAGTTGACGCCATTTTATCGTACTGACCTTGGTGGTCGTTTCGAGGGATGACCATAAATATTTTTTTGAGCCAGCTAAGCTCTGCTTTCGTTCACTACATACCAGCCAGTTCTTAGAATAACTTCATGAATTCTGTGGTCACCCCTACGACGTCTTATGCCGCCAAAATGGATGGAAAATGAAACGCAGAAGCACCAACACTTGTTATGATAACATAAAGGTTGAATTTACTGCAGCTAATCTGGGTAGCGATACGACTCACGGAGAGACATTTCTTCTTATATTCCCCCCACGGGGAAGGCAAGGCCGCACAGAAGATGTTTTGTTTACGGAAAAAGAGCCAAATGAGAGAGATACGCAGTACTGGTATGGTGATGTGAGTCAGCGCTGTGTATAGTAGAATGCTTCAATGCGTGCAACACTCCGCTCAAAATCTGAACCACTACCAAGATACCGGGCGCTCATATTATAAGGCAAAGTTATAAAACAATTTTTTAAGATCATTTTAGTGAAAGTTTCATGCTTCAAGGCGTACGATACACTGCTCAAATTCTAAACCAACTGCTTCCATTGCCGAGATAACGGGCGCTCATATTATAAGGCAAGGTTATAAAACCACCTTTTAAGATCATTTTATTGAAAGTTTCATGATCCTATCTCATATAATTTAAGAACAATGATGAATAAATCATTTTCGAGCAATATTTAAATGGCCGGCTGAATATATTACCGCAGGAGCCGCGGCCGCAGAATTTAAATGACCACGTCAAAGGGTTAAAATTTTTTTCAGTTAGCGTTCAGAATCCACCACTCCCAAAGAAAACCTTTAATGGGGGTTTCACTGTAATACTTTTTACCTATCTGCATGTTAATTTAAATACTTCATCCAGGCAGGTAAGTATTGAATATTGTAACAGATTTGCTCAAAGCATTGCTAGGTAATAGGCACAGGCAACAATAGGATGAATGTTATAGCTTGTTACTAGGCAGCAGTCAGCATGCCAGTGGACTGGTGAGATGGTATTCTCATGACTTATGTTTCTGTGTGGTCCATATGGAGCCTTTATAATGAGGATCTTGTAGCTTAGTGTGCAGTGCAGTTGAGTGTACAATGACAAGAATGGAGCAAGTCTTTAGTGAATTGTGAAGAGTAGTTGAGTACAGATTAGGGTAGAAGACTTCATAGTGATTTGAAGTGCTAGTTTCTGTGTTGAGATCCATTGCCAGGAGACGACTAGTGAAGATGGACAATCCTAGTGCACATGCAGTGGTGAACTGAAAGTGTGTAGAATAGTGATAGCATTGTGATTGAGTGTTCAATAAATCCAATCATCGTATCTAGAACCATTATTTTTATCGCGTGTACCACTCTACACGTGACAATATAGTAATCCATATAGGATGTTTATTAAAAAGTTTTTCTGCATATATTTAATCTTCCATAAATTTTAACATTTGTTATAATGTAATTAAATTCAGTAATAATTTTATATTAGCTGGTCACGGTAGCCGAGCGGTCTAAGGCATGCACTGTCTTCGCTCGTTTGGAAGCCAGGATCGCGGGTTCAAATCCCACTCAGGGCATGGATGTTTGTGTGCGTTTTTCTGTGTTTGTCTACAGGTAGAGGCCTTGCGACGAGCTGATCACTCGCCCAAGCAGTCCTACCGACTGTGTAAGATCTGGTAAACCGAAGTGAAACGAAGAGTTTCATGGAGGTAGGCCTAGGCCCAAATTGGGGCTGTAGCGCCACAGAAAAAAAATTTACATATTAGAATTACATCATAAAGTTTAATTTAAATATTAAATTTCCTCTGCCAAAACAGTCAGTTTACTTTAAGTATGTAATTTGTTTTACTTTGGTGGCAGATATGTTCGTAATTATTTGTTTGAAAACAGTGACTTAAATATGGGAGGAGTGACTCATGAATTGTTGCATCAAATGCACCTTAGGTTTGGGCAGTGTCTGACATAATTGTATTAAATACTCTTCAGGCATTGGGCATTGTCCAACATAATCACGCATAATGAATCGTCACAAATATTTAAATAATCATCCTTTATCATATGTGTTGTAACTGTTATGCCCTAGTGTGCTGCTTTATTTTGACTTATAAAAAGGGGCAAGATTATTGTAAGCAAATCTGTTTACACTATGTTGATGTAATTGTTATCCTAAAGGAACTGCCAACTGTTTAGAACAGGTAAGAGGCAGTTTTAAGCATTGTCATTTCACAGAGGTTCAGTTAACACATGTCAAATCAGAATGTAAAAGGAAGTCTCTTTCTTTTCATGCTGCCATAAACATGGACTTGTTGCACTGTAAGCAGTTATATTGACAACTGAAATTGCTTACTGAAACTAAAGCCATTGTTAATAATGTCTTATTTAGATAAGATGCACAACAATGGAAAGTAATACTTCTTTAATGTATAATTAGATACAAGAAGGGGCTTGTAAATCAGGACACTAGGATAGGTAATGCATTCCAAGTTCTAGGCTTGAAGTCTGTGCAGAGCAGTGACATCATGATGTCTGTAAGCCAGGATTTATCAAGTTTTGAGACACCACAACCTCTAAAATTATACATAAATGTGTGTGCCCCCCACAATTAATGGTGTTGATTTCATTGGGGTTAGGTAAGAGGTATACAAGGTCAGGCAAATACATTTTGAGACTCATTTTTAATTTTGTGCCAGGTACTCTGGCCTTGCTGCTACTTGGAATGTTAGGTGATGCAACAAGGCAGATCTCAGATGGAAAGTTTGAATAAGCTTTGTTTAGTATTCATTGAACAGTAGCTCATTAGATCACTGTATGTCAACTTCATCCAGACGTGAAAATGTAACATATGATGGAACAGTGATGTGAAAGTTTGTGTCAAAGTGCAGAAATTGCCAACTGGCAAAATGCTGGTCCATGGAGTGGAGATCAGAGAATTCTCCCAGGCCAAAGAAGCCATGGATGTAGAAGTCAGAGATCAAAACAATATTATGTGCTTTTTGACATCATGGATATCATCCATTTTGAATTTGTACCCAAAGGGACCACTGTTAATCAGACATTCCATGGTGATGAAAATGCTTGTTGATGCTGTGAAGTTCAAGTGAACAGAGTTGGGGAGATATTGCACACATTTATCTTTCACCACAACAATGTGTCAGCACAGTCTGTGCTTCAAGTGTCACAGTTTTTAGCAGGAGAAAGCATCTCCATCATGAAACATCCACCATACTCCCCTGGCTTGGCTCCAACTGATTACTGTCTGTTTCCAAAACTCAAAGAGTGTGCCATAAGGAAAGTGTTTCTCAGATGTTGAGGACATTAAATCATTTGTGTGTGTGTGTGTGTGTGTGTGTGTGTGTGTGTGTGGGGGGGAAAATGGCAGACATTCCTGTCCAGGATTTTGAAAACTGTTTTGAACATTGGTTGAAGCACTGGGAACATTGTAAACAATTGGAAGGAGATTACTTTGAAAAATTCTTGGATTCTCATATCTGCAGCTCTTAAAATAAATTCTTAAAATTGAGTCTCAGCTTGTTTACCCGACCATGCATGAAGTATGTTAAAGTCAACAGAGTTGTATAATGAGAAAATATAACTGGCACATATTTGTCAAATTCAGAACTGTTTCACTGAAAAAAGAAGTTATGTCCAGTCATCAACAGTTTCCAATTAGAAGCATGAGCTTTATTTTTATTGCTAGTGGGTGGGACTAAGTCCCTTGTACTGCGGCCACTTCTGGCCTATTGCACCAGCCCCAGATGGCAGGTGAGAGTGATTGTGGAGCAATTGGTGGAATGAAGATTGGCTGCAGAAACCGATGTACTCGGAGAAAACCTGCCCCAACACCACTTTGTCCACCACAAATTCCACTTGACCAGACCCAGGATCGAACTCGGGCCGCTGCGGTGTGAAGTCAGCAACTAACCGCTTGAGCAATGGCGCGGTGAAGCATGAGCTTCATACAGCTTAGTTTTTCAGACTTGTGAGATGGCCACTCTCATTTCATTGTCCAAATTTATTTGTGATAACAGTTTGTTCTTGGGAGTCTGGAGAGCTCAGTATAGTGATGAGCCATGGGCTGTATGGCCTGGGTTCGATTCCCTGAAGTGCAGCAGCCAGATCAGTTCAGGGCCCCATCTAGTTCCCTATCCAATGGGTACCAAGGGCACCGTCCCCGGGGATGAAGCGGCTGTGGCGTGAAGCTGATCACTCATATCCATCCAATGCAGAGGTCAAGAATGGTGGAGGCATTATAAGATACAGTGTATGTGAAGTAGTTTGTGTAAACATGAGGGGACCCGGGATAGCGTAGTCAGTATAGTGTCTAGCTACAAACTGTACAACCGAGAGGTGGAGTGCGAGTCCCATTAGGGTAAAATATTTTGTCTTCTCCATTTCATCCAGACTGACTCTTAGTTCCACCAATCCTATCCAATGGGTACCAGAGGCTCTTTTCGCAGGGCTAATTTGGGTGGGGTGTGAATCTGACCACTCACCTCCATCTAGTGCTGAGATCGAGAAAATGTGGTTCTATACATCCACTCCCCCATATGCTTTTATGGCATAATGCTTAATTAGTTAAACACAGGGACAACTTTACCTTTTACCTTTTAGTATTGTAATGAAGGCTTCATTATATCTGTGGTAAAAAGTGGTGTTGTGGGTTACATCATGACTAGGAGAATGTTATTCAGAAATAATTGTATTGTTTTACATTGTCCTAGAATGATCCTAACCAGCACGGGCACTGCTGTTTCTGTGGGGACCACTACAACGGTGGCGGCAGGCTCCCCTGTTTCAGCAGAGAAATCACAGCAGACTGTTGTCCCTCAGAACAACAAGGGCATACAACAGCAACAAGTAGCATTACAACAGCAGCCACAACAACAGATTCAGCAGCAGCAGATTAATATTCAGCAACAGATTCAACAGCAACCACAGCTTCAGCATTTCCAACAACAGCCACAATCTCAAACTCAGGCCCAATCTCAGCAACAACAGCAACAAGCTTCTCAACAGCAACTGCAGCAGGCTCAGCAGCAGACGCCACAGAAACCTGTTGTGGGTAAGTGCAACATTCCAGAGACTGCACTGCATGGAGAGCAAGGAGTTCTTGGGAGAAGTAATTGCCTACTTTCATTTCACTACATTTTGAGTATTTGATACACAGTGGGCTGCACAGAAAACACCACATTCCACAGTTCTTCTGTTGTTGCATAACGGAGTCATTGCTTAGTGACTGCCATTTCTTCTGGCTTTCAGGCATTAGAGAAGGATCCACAGCAAGGTGATCCCACAGTCTCCTTCTGTTTTTTAAAAATAAGAAAAGCAGGCTAAAATATGTTCTCGGTTGGTTCTTATGAGATATAAGGCAAACTTTTGTAAAGCAGAAGAGAAGTCATGTTGAGTGATAACTGTGTTGAGTGCAGTTATAAACATATGGTAAGGTGGCTCACCTTAATAGTGACCATAGCTAATTATGTATAAAGAGACTAGGATGATGCACTCACAGAAAACAAGGCAGTTTTACAATACTGAAAAATGTAATTGTGAAAACTTTTTCCCTGTATTGTGTGTGTATCATAGATTTTTAAGTCTATGTGATATTTAGGAAAATGGGACAACCTCAGAAGTTTGTATAGTAAATTGAATTTTATGATTATATTTCCTTCACCAGGCATGACAACAGTACAAGCACAGACAGTCCATGTGCCAGGGCCGCCAGTAGCCCAGCAACAAATAGCTCAACAAACTGCAACTGCAGCTGCAGCTGTTGCTGCATCTGTACAACAGATGGGTTCAACACCCCCACCTGAACGCCCAGTCATGCCTGTAGTGTCACTGGCTCCAGCTCCTTCACCGCTGCCTCTCCAGACAACCCTTCCCATCCCTCCTAACATACAACAATGTTCACCATTAGCTTCCACAGTGGCGAGTCAAAACATGATTGTAACCTCAGCTGTACCACAGATTCAGACAGTATCACCTCAGCAGCAGCCATCACAGACCCAGTCTCAGTCACAGCTCCAAACACAGGTAATTGCTTCTGAAGAATAAGTGGCATACTGTCTATGCACTTCTTAGTCAGGTTTGGGGAGAATAGTGAATATGAACAGCCATGCCCTCTCTGTGTGTAAATTTAAATGAAAATAATAATTGTGACACTCAGCTGCTAGAACACCATTAAAATTGTGTATATGTGATGTGAAGTTTTCACATTTAGTCATGAGATTATCAGTAAAGGTTCTTAGCAGGCTCATTAAAAACCAGTTCATTTACCTACCTCAGGTAGTATTGCCTTCGAAATATAACCCTCATGCTTTTGTGACATGCTGGATAGATCACATCTTTAGTCAGCTGTAGTCACTTTAAATAACAAATTATGAAATAGGAATGTAATTGAGTGATTGTTTATGCTTTAAGTTTAAGTTGAATTCATATAAAATATGCTAAATGATTTACAAGAAGATAGGCTGGTACTAAACTGGTGGTAGCTTTGAGTAAATAGGCCTATAGGATGTTACTGAACCTTTCCAATTTGTGTTACACATTTATTCTTGTTCTGCAGGTGCAGTTGACAGCTCTTTCTGCACCAGCTGCACCAGTTGGTTCAATGGGCACCCAGACTGTTCGGGATGATGCAGTAAGCAAAGCGATGGAAGAGCAGACCACTCAGGGTTCTGCTGTCACAGTCTCTACTCCTTCACAGGCAACGCCCATGGAGACACAAGAAATTGCTGATGTAGATGGTAAGGAACTGCAGTCAGTACATTTTTGTGATGTATGTGATTTTGTACCATATTGTCGTATTTGTATAAGTTCTTTCAGACTCCAAGAGAATGAGGCATAGTACAAAATTTGTTAGCTGGTTGAAGTGTTTAAAGTTAAGCCTGATTACAGCTATAAACATATTAGTAAACCATAAATAAAATTGAAATAATTTAACATAAACTTTGGTAGTGACATTTCTACCACTAGAAATGTTCTGATTATGTTGCAGTGAAAATTCAAGAAAATAGGATATTCTGCACAGATGTGAAGTTGACTTTAAGTGATACAGTGTGTCCCTTGCTTTGCTTTCTGAATTATTCCAAATATGTGGGTCAAGTTCCTTACAGATGTTCATGTAACACTGCTTGTGTTACTTGTTCAAGAATTGTGGCAATACATAATGATGGTTCCCCTCTTTATTGATATTTCTTGTGCTGGTGAATATGTGGCAGGCTCACAAGTCACAGGGAATGGTGCCATCCAAATCAAGGAAGAGAAGGTGGTGAATGGATGTGTGGAAACAAGTGTCACAACGAATGTGATGGAGAATGGAGTTGTGGCAGAAGAGGTTCGCACTGAGAGGGAGCGGGACAAGAACCCACCTAAAGCCATGGTGAAACCACAAGTCCTCACCCATGTCATAGAGGGATTTGTTATTCAGGAAGGTATACAGTTTTCTTTTTAATGTATCCTGAGTAGGCTACAGGCTAAATGACTGAGAAGTTGCGTTTTGTTTCCTGGCAGGGGCAAGAGATTTTTCTCTTATCTACAATGCCCAGACCAGCTTTGGGGCCCACACAGCTTCCCATATAATGGGTAATTAGGACTGACACTCCTGGAGTAAAGCAACAGGGGTATGAAACTGACTGTTGACCTCCATCCAGTGCTGAGGTTAAGAATGGTGGAACTATACCTGCACTGTACCATACATTGTTATGGTGTGATGCTTAATTAATTAAGACCTGGAATAATTTTGCCTTTTACTTCATTAAAACAGGGAGGATTTTTACTTTGTTGATTGGTTCCATGGCTCTGCACTTCATGGCACTCGGGGCACCGATACCACAAGGCACATACAAATTTTGCCGATGAATGAAAACGCCTGAAGGCCGATAACGTTCAGAATAAAACAGTTACAGTTCACAGATTATGGGAGGTGTTCACAATGCTGTCTCTTTATATGTAGATATCTTTGGCAATTAATTGTTCCATTAAAAAAACACAGTTACAACAATCCTCGCACTTACAGCACACCAGGCACAAACTTTCACTGGATGGAGAGGGACTTTGCGGATTAGATGTGGATTCTTTGAACTCCAATAGTGGTTCATTTTATATTTATGTATCCCTGCAAGTGAAACCACGCTGCATCAGACAAGAATGTCAATTGTAGATTGATCTCACCTTTGATACCGACTGTAGAAGCCAACTGCAAAAATGAACCCTGCTAGCTGGATTGCACAGCTGCAAGGCATGCATAAATTACTGTTGTTTTATAGAGTCTAAGCTTCAGCAGTTATGTTGCCCTTCTTGCAGTAGACTTTGACACTCCAGTCTCTTGAGCTAGACATTTCAGTGATTTTCTAGGCGTCCTTTCCTGGTGTGATATCATTCTGAATGTTTGTGACGTCAAAAGTACGATGTTCCCACATGTAATATTCATAAATTTACTTGGATAACTGCTGATGGAAAGACACACAACCAGATTCACCATATTTTGATAGATAGGAGAAAGCATTCAAGTATACTTGATGTCTGATCGTTCAGGGCATCAGATTGTAATATTGACCACTACCCGGTGGTGGAAAGGGTTAGGGAGAGACTGGCAGTGTGTAAACAAACAATGCACAGAGTTCATGTGGAGAGAGGTATAATCTCAAAAAATTAAGCGAGGTAGAAGGTAAAGAGCAATATTGTGTTGAAATCTCAGATAGGTTCACAACTTTGGAAACCTTAGACACTGAGGTGGATGTTAATAAAGTTTGGGAAACTGTTAGAGAGAATATCAAAATTTCTGCCAAGGAGAATGTAGGTTGTTATGAATTGAAGACTCATAAGCCATGGTTTGATGAAGGATGCTCAGAATTATTAAACCAAAAGAAAGAAGCCAAATTGCAGTGGTTACAGGATCCAAGCAAAATAAATGAGGATTATCTGAACAATATGTGCCTCACTGCCAGTGGCATACTGGTTGCTGTGAAGTGTAGAGCCTTGAGCCAGTCGACAAAATTAAAAAAGAAATCTCTGTACATTCTGCCTGCTTTGATGCATATCGGTGAACTTTAGTTTTTAGGACATAGGTTATAGCAAATACAGTGAATGCTTGATTGACAAATAGTTTTGAAATAAATTCAGTTGTACTGTTTATTAGTGAGTTAAGTCATTGAGGAAATTAATTCAAAATTAAAAGAAATAAAGGAGGTATTTTAGCATACACTATGGTAATATAATTTATTCCTTTGCTGGTGTAAGAAATATACTGCCATGTCTTGGCCGCCAGGATTTCACAAAGCTGAATGTGAGATTGCAACTAATGCTTGTAATTCTGTACTCGCGTTCTCCATGAAGAATTGAGGAAACTCCAGATCCAGTTTGAAAGGGATTAATCTTGGAAGTTTCTGTGATTTTCATTCAATTTACACATACATAACAGGACAACTGCGTCCTAAATAGGCATGTTTCTCATGACAATAACTTTGTCTCTGTGCATTTGAAATATTAATGTTAATAAAATCTGATTTTTTGACATCTTTTAGTGTGTAAGATTTGAGGCTTTCACGGCGGTGACTATGAAGAAAGCAGACTTCTGGGATTTGGCACCGTGTATATGTGGTGTTAACCGGCATTTTGGAGGAACGTATCACCTCCATCTTATATTATTATTATTATATTATTTCTTATATTTTTTCTTCTACCCTGAAGATGGAGGCGGTACGTTCCTCCGAAACGTCGGTTAACACCACATATACACGGTGCCAAATCCCAGAAGACTGCTTTCTTCATCTTTTGGTGTAATTTAATTATGTCTGATTTTATCAGAAATAATTTTACTTGTTATATCAGCCCCACCAAATTTCATAAAGTATAGACAAGATGCATTGTGGGGAAAAAAAGACGGAGGTATTATAGAATTTTCACTGAAATTGTTACATTGAGGATTGTTTTGATTACATGTTCTCATGGGCAAGGAACTGTTTTCTTCCTGGTTCTCAGTACAGGTAAACATGATTGTTAGGAGACTTTGGCTGCATTTAACCCTTACCCTTGTGCTGACTTATTTTTGAAGTATTCCCTAAATATGGAAAGCAAGATCAACCAACTAGCTCCGTGAAATGGAAGGTGGTATTATTGTCTGTGTTCCATGTTTTTACTGGAACAGAAATGCTTGAGTGTTATTTTTTCATTATGCTAAATTGTCTTCACTGTTAACAAAATTTGTATTGAGGAGATATCACCTTGTGAGAAGATCTGTTGTCTCACTTTGTGGAGTGTAATTTTGTTTGTTTTCAGCTTCTGAGCCATTTGCTGTGAATAGGTCCTCCCTCCTCAATGACCTTGTCCAAGCAGCGAAGCCAAACAACCAACAGCTGTCTGATAAAGAGAACCAGCAGATTGGTGGTGATGATGAACCTCCAAGTATGTTCATGAGACATGCATGGAAATTTAAGCAGAACAACTGAATGCTTGTAGTATTAGTAACATGAATGTAGTTGTCTGGGTTAGGTGCATGTGATGATTATGATCATGATCATGATGATGATGATGATGATGATGATGATGATGATGAAAAGGAGAAAACATTCTTTTACTCTGAGCAGCTTTTAAGGAAGAGATACCCTGTAACACTAATTTAAGTTTAATTTATACTGAGTCTAAAAGAAATAAGTCATAATTTGAGGTTCAAGTGGTTTTGCATAAATTAAGTTTGTACCATGTTCAAGTTAAGTAGTAGAGGCTTTCATATTGCATGTCCCATCTCTTAATCGGTTTAGTTCGATAAGGAGGAATACAAAATTTGGAATACCGCAAGGGTCTACATTGGGCCCGCTTTTGTTTCTTTTATACATAAATGATTTACCCCAACATATAACAAATAGGGAGATTGTTCTCTTTGCAGAGGATACCAATATATTGATTATTGATAAAGATAAAAGCATCCTTCAAGATAAAATAAAGAGAATTATGATCCAACTGGAATCTTGGTTTTCAAAAAACAATATGATTATAAATAATGATAAGACTAAAGCTATGTTATTCCAGTTAAAGAAACCGCATGACATCTCAGGGCCAGATATTATTTTTAATAATATAAAAATTAAGTATACATCTCAGTTTAGATTTTTAGGTATTAATATAACTCAAAATCTCAAATGGAGTGTACATATTCAGTCCTTGTGTTCAAAATTGAATAAGGTATGTTATATTATTAAATCTTTGAAAGATGAGGTAAGTTTACATATACTCAGGAATATATACTTTGCCAAATTTCAATCGTTGGTAAGTTATGGGTTGATTTTTTGGGGAGGAGAAAATGAAAGTATTAAAGTCTTTAAAATACAAAAAAGGATGCTTCATTTCATCAAAGGTGTAAATAACAGAGTGTCATGCAGACCTTTATTTAAAGAATTGAAGATTTTAACTATTACGTCCTTGTACATCATAGAGGTGTTGTGTTATTTTAAGAGATATAATATATACACTACGAGAAATACTGATTTATACGAGTATAATACTAGGAGGAAAGATGATCTTCATGTACAACAATGTAACACATCAGTTTTTAAGAAAAGTGTTATTAATGTGGGCATTAAATTATATAATATACTTCCTTTGGAAGTTAAAAAGTCAAAGGGATGTAACGAATTTAAACATAAATTAAAATTATTTTTATTTGATCGTCCTTTCTATACATTGAATGAGTTTCTTCAACAGGGACATGAGGAAGCATAGCAAGGTTTTTTTAATTAACAAAAAAAGAGAAGAAAAGGGAATTGTAGTAGTTATTGTTATATTTTTAAAAATTTTAGTGATGTTGTAAGGCAAGTACAGTTTTATTTTTAGTCTAATACATTCTAGGATTTTAGAGCTTTTAACAATGATGTATTTAGTGAGTTGACTTGTTCAAGTGTTGCAGCTGTAACAGTATGAATGCAAATAAATATGAATATGAATGAATATGAATATGAATATTAATATCTCCTAATATTAGTAGAACAGTTATCTCAAGAGAATTATGATGGGATGGACATGTAGCTCATGTAGGGGATGTAGAATTATGAAGAAACTGCTGGGATGGAAGCTTCTTGAAAGACCAAGATGGAAAATCTTGAAGAAATACATTTTTGTGAAATGAATTAGTTTGAATTCCCATGGGACAAGATGTAGTTGATGGTCCTGGTTTTGGCAGTGTTGATTCTTTGTGGTTTGGTACAAAATATTCTGGGTAGTACTTGTTTCATGTGACTTATTTTTGTTTCTGTAACAGAGAAGAAGCATTCTTCAGACCTGCTGCTGGTTCCACTTCCACCAGGACCAAAAGGTGAACTAGAAAAATGTGAATTTTGTGGGAAGGTTGATCTTCGCTCCAAATTCAAGAAGTCAAAACGCTTCTGTTCCATGTCATGTGCTAAGAGGTGAGCATCACACTCTTGTTAACTCTGCAGTGTGTAAAAATTGTGTAGGTGACCTGTGGAATAACATACTGGCTGATACATCTTGGGACATTACAAATGGCAGTCACAGTTCTTTCTGTTATTAATGTTACATTTAGGCGATGTAAGTTAATAATCTGACAACAAAATGCAATTGCTTTCATTTGCTAGTATCCTGGGCTTCTGTGTAGAAGAGCAGAGGACTGAATTGTACAGAGTCATGATTTTTAATTGCTTACAATTGTGAATATGTGTTTCAGGTTGTTGTTATTGTCATTGTTATTACCTTCATCACTGTCAGTATTAATATATCATTTTCATTCTGGGAAGAGCACAATATTTACATGCAGTTTCTGCTAGATATAATTTTAAAGTTTTGCGCAATTGCCATGTTTGAAATTGTGGACTTATATTGTTTCACATTTTTTTTAACAATATATGATCTTTATACAGCATTTCATAAACCTAGCTCTGAAGTCATATGTAGTTATCACTGTCAGACTGAAAGATAAATGAAAATTTTATATGCCTCGCAAATGTTTTGCAAATAAAAAGATTAATTAATGTTTAATATTTCTTAAAGGTCTGTCATTGCAGGGTCTCATATCAATGGGTTATATTGTATCACTCCCACAAACTATACCTCCATCCACAATGCAACTTATTTATTATAATGTGGCATATTGGCTCTATGCAGGAACTGTTGAGCCACAGAGGCCACAGAATTTCATTGTGGACGGAAGTATAGTTTGTGAAGAATATATTAATGCAACATGAAATTAAATGGGACACATCAGGTGTTGGTCTACGCCGATGATGTGAATCTACTGGGTGATAGTGTAGATACCATAAAGAAAAACACACAAACTTTAATTGATGCAAGTAAAGAGGTTGGTCTAGAAGTAAACTAAGTATATGTTACTGTCTTGTCACCAAAATGCAGGGCAAAATCATGACATAAAGATAGGAAAGAGATGTTTTGAAAATGTGGCACAGTTCAGATATTTAGGAACAACAATAACAGATCGAAACCTGATTCAGGAGGAAATTAAGAGGTGATTGAACTCTGGTAATGCTTGCTACCATTCAGTCCAGAACCTTTTGTCTTCACATCTGTTGTCCAAAAACATAAAAATTAGAATATACAAAGTTCTGTATGGGTGTGAAACTTGGTCTCTGACATTAAGGGAGGAACATAGACTGAGGGTGTTTGAGAACAGGGTGTTGAGGAGAATATTTGGACCGAAGAGAGATGAAGTGACAGGAGGTTGGAGAAAACTGCATAATGAGGAGCTTCATAAATTGTACTCTTCTCCAAGTATAATTAGAAGATTAAGTCGAGGAGGATGAGGTGGGCAGGTCATGTAGCACGAATGGGAGAGACGAGGAATGCATATAGGATATTTGTGGGAAAGCCAGAAGGAAAGAGACCACAGGGAAGACCAAGGCATAGGTGGGTGGACAGTATTAGAACAGAGCTTAGAGATATAGGATGGAATGGATTGGATAGATCTGGCTCAGGATAGGGACCAGTGGAGGGCTCTTGTGAACATGGTGATGAACCTTTGGGTTCCATAAAAGGCTGGGAAATTCTTGAGTAGCTGCAGAATTGGCGGCTCCTCAAGAAGGGCTCAGCTCCATGAGTAAGTAAGTAAGGATGCTTAAATACAATATCATTCCCACCTTGCAAGTTTGTGTATGTGGCATGTTGTTGTTACTGATTATAGGAAAGAGGTTTATGTGACTTCTAATGGTATAAAATTCATACCGCGCTTCCGTAAAATCATTTTAGTGGTTGAGAAGTTGAAAGACCTGCCACACAGACAGGAAAATGTGTGAAAACAAAAATTTGTATTTTTATCTTTATCTGCCACAGCATCAAAATGAAATCATGCTCAGAACATATGAAATGTTTATTTTTGGAAATACAGTGACATAGAACTTTTAATGGGGTGCTCAAAAATGCAAAAAAAGAAAGGAACATAGAATTTGAATGGTAGGAAATGAATGTAAGTGCTTTGTTTTAAAATCATTGTTTTCTGACAATATGTGTGGCTACTTCTGGGCACTCACACTTATTGTGTGATATGTTGTATTTTTTACTTGTAAAATTTGTGATTTGTCCCATAGCATCCACATGACCTTGTAATGGAATGAAGAAATATAGACATTTTTTTTATGTCTTGTGACTCTTATACAGGTTGTGGTGGTTGTCATCATAATTTTACCCCTCCTCCTCCTAATATTATTTCCAATTTACAATTGTTAATATGTCAACCCATCTCTTATTTCTTCCCACAGTCCTTTCAAATTTCTTGCCATCTTGTCAGATTGTTGTTATGGCGTGTAAAGTGAATTCAGTACAGAGTAGATACAGAAACAAAAACGCTCTTCACAATGTTACCGTTGGTTACTTTTATGTTATCTTTGTTTAACTAGTTGTGTGCATTGTACATTCTGTAATGTTAGGTACAACGTTGGTTGCAGCAAGCGACTGGGAATGTTCAAGCCAAATTCAAATCAGTCAGCAGAAGGACAGACAAAGAAGGGGACAGTGTCAGACATGAAGGAGCAGTGGCAGAAACCAGTCGCCAACAAAAACCAAGACTGGGTAAGTTGATTCTTGTAGCAACTTTGAAATTACAAAGTGACCTGGCCTCACTTCATTTAGTCATGTGTTACCAAAGCACAACAACAATACTAGTGAAATGACATGACTGTCAGAAGTACAGATGTTTGTTGCAGTGGATATAGGTATGAAGATTTTAACCTTAATTTAATCTAATTTTTGGTAGATGCATACCTCCACACTAGATGTAATGGTTGTACTGCCATGGCTTGGTCACCAGAGCCTCATGAAAATGGAAGCACTGTGTGAAAGTTATGGAGTATACACTTTCACTTTCCATGTTGCATTTCATACTCGGTATCTCCTAGCGTTGACAGAGCAGTTATCTGAAGAATGTTGTAATGTGACAAAATTGTAACATGTTTAGAACTGTATGAAGACTGAGAAGGGCTTTGAGTACTTCAGTTTCACCTGCCAGTTCTTCCATCATTGTTCCAGTTTTCTCATCCATCCTTTAGAGTTCACACAATAGGCCATTTACCAGAGGATGTAAGTACTGAGCGACTTAGTCTCATGCTAGCCAAAGAGTTACAGTAAAAAGGTGTTTTCATCTGATCAACCACGCTTCACACACATATGTTGCTTCAAGATTGCTGCCTCATTCCTCATTTGCAGTTTTAGGAAGCAGGGTAATTAACTTTTTGACTGGGCATTGGATAATCTGAGGGGTTTTGGGTAAGTCATGAAGGTTGTCTCAGAATGACAAGTCTTCAGGTCTGTCTTGGCACTGCTAGGTAGGACGTTATTGGACACCAGGATCACAAGTCTGGCAGCTGATGTCACAAGTTTAACCATTAGTTCAATGATTAAACAGCGTTTTTGAAATTAAAGCCATGTATGTAACTTTTCTGCTCATGATAATTTTAAGTAACCCATGACTGTCAACATTTATAATTGCTTTTCCCTTTCGCCTTTGTCTCAAATGCACTGTTACATTACAGTGATAGCCTATGCATGGATCCAGCTGACCTAACATCATATAGTTTTAAATACAGATATCAGACCCCTGATTTAAAATTTGGTCCCAATGCAGTGAAGGATTTAAATCCCATATTCTTGGACAGTGAAGGCCAATAAATTGTGTATGCTGCATAGTGATAGTCCACATGAATATATCACTCTTTTGCTGTGTCTAGTATTCATGTAATGTGTTGGGCTGTCTTTGCTTAAGCCTTTTGCACATTTAAAATAATTTTTTTCCCATATGAAAGCATTTTGCTCAGAGTGTTTCTTCCCTCTTCACTCATTCTAAAACAGCCTGTTTGAAACTTTTCATCTGTGTTGAATCATGCCACATGTGACAACATTTTCATAATGGAATTAACACCTAAATTCTGCGCTATATAAGTACTACAGCACATTTGATATCCTGACTGTTATTATCCTCCAAGATATGTGGATGTGGGGTGGCTCAGTTCATAGTTACGAGCTTAGCATGTGGTAATGCTGACTCCATAACAAAATATAGAAGTGGTCATGTCAAGATATGTAGAGTGGATTCTCTGTATGAGAATATTCTGCTTTGAGTGCATGAATGATTACTGCATTAGGCTGAATATTTACGAATAGTGGAAACTTAATAATAGTCCTATATTCTCAAGATACTACAGGACTATACGATGTGAATATGTTTTTATTAAAATTTTAGGTGTTACAGTAATTTTTTTATGAATTAATCCTCATCATCTTCATTCCTCAGTTTAATAAAATTGATCTCCAATGCTAAGTTTAGTGTTTATATTGATTGCCTGCAGAGAAACAGCGTTGATGATTTCACTGTTGTATATTATAAATGTGTTGACAGGTATCCTTGGAAGAGGAATGAGAACTGTAGTGTTCTGAGTTGTATTCAGGTTACCGTGTGTCATGGAATAATGCTGCTGTTGCAGCATAGACATTATAAAAACAATATGTGTAGTGCCAAGGTGGTTAGTTTTATAGTTGCAAATTGTTTGGTATCTGTAGAAGGAAAGAAGCACAATTGTTAGGTCTGTAGATAGTTGTTTTCACTCAGTTCCACATTTATTACACTTGAGTTCCAGAATTATGATGTTGAAGTTAAAACAAGAAAGTAGTAGTACAATTAATTTACTTCATGCCCCACGCAGCCTACTACTACTACTTCTGCATTGCTTTATTCAGCATATGATCAGTGTATCTTAATGAATGAATCTGAAGTTCTCTTATTGTATGACAGCTTTTTGTACATCATGTAATATACAGAAGCAGTTTTTATCAACTGGGAAGGAGATACAATATTAGATTGTGGCAGCTTTACTTGCAGCATAAAGTACCCAATATGTACAAGGTAAAATGCTTGACAATGGCGCCTTTTTGGCAGACACAGTATTTGCAAAACATGATGAGAATTATATGCCTTGGAAGCAAAATCTGCACAGACTGAAGATAAATAATAGTTTCAGTATTTACCATCACACACTGCTTTATATCCAATACCATTAATTTCAAGATCAACAGAGAAACCATTAACAGAAATGTTTTTTATGCATGTCACACGTATTGATTACTGTATGAAACAGCAGTCATAACTTAAAATATATATATGTAATTACATACTGTTTTTTTGTACTTTAAATAAAGGTTTTTTTCCCCCACTTCTGCATCTTTCATTCTAGTTGTACAATACATGTATTTCAGTTTTCAAGTAAAATGCGTTTCAGGTTAGATGAAGTGGTAAACTATGATTCATGCTTTCTGCTTTTTATATAAAATTTCATCAGATCCACTGCTATAGGTACTGTCCCTCACAGACAGATTGACAGGTACAGACTTACTTCCTGCAAGTCGTGTTCGTGTCCTTTGCTTCACCGTGTGCAGAAGAATCATTTCTTACTTATTCAGTATTTGACTATGTTGCAGACAGTGACATAAGATATGCTTGTTACAGGCAAATGGTCAACCTGAGGGGGCAACCGGAGCTACAGATGACAACACTGACACAAATGATTCAGCGGCATCTGGACCTGAGAGCTCTCTTTCACCTTCTGAGGCACCTGATGTTCCTTCAGTAGATATGGAAGACAGTTCTGCCTCAGAATCTGTCACACCAGCCACGCAACCTACACAGAGGGTGAACCCCCTGAAATGGACGGTCAGTTTGCTATGTCCTGTTTACTGTTCTTGATTTATTTATAAGTTTATGGGAAAGTCAGCTGTGTTTCTTGTGTTGTCATTCAGTCAGGCAGTTGAGCTCAGAACTAAAGTATAATTAAAAAACCAACTTAGCTCCTACTTGTACTGCTTTTTGCTAGTGACATTTCCTCCAAATCAGATGATGTTTTATACTTGTTTCTGGGTATGGTTTTCACCATATGAGGAGAAGGTGAGGCTGAACTAATGTAAGAGTACCCTTATATCACATATTAGATAAGCATAGAAGATGATTCTGTGAATAGGGAGTTATGAGCCATCATTATAACACTTTTAGTAGAACTTTATATATATTGTCACGTGTTGGGTGTATAATGCAACAAATAACTACACGCCTTATTGGATATAGCGAATTTTATTGCACATTCGCTCATACAATCACACAATTTACAAGCTCAACATTACTGCCATTGGCAGTATCACAAATACTAGACTGCAAATGCTAGACTACAATTGACTGGTTGACTTCCTGGCTAACTGGTGACTCACTCATAACTAACTCATAACTGCTGCCTTGAGAACTGACTTCGGTGGCTGATACACTTTTAACTTGTTCACTGCTGACTGGAGAACTGTCTTCGGCCGCTGATACACTTTAACTTGTTCACTGCGGACTGGCAAACTGTCTTCGGCCGCTGATACCTTTTTAACTGACAACAAGAACCGACCTTGGCGACGGCCACATTTCAACTGACTGTGGCGGCTGTGTAGTTCCCTTATGTAGTCGCAGCGCTTGCCTGTTACGTAATCAGTACCGCTGTTGGCTGACGCTGTGCCGACAGCTGACTCATCTGCCACGTCACTGCTGGGTAGGGAGGGGTTGTCCTCCATTGCGAAACATGTCACAATATATAACACATGGAATTAATGCCATTCTGACTGTAGAGCCATAGAGCCATTGCAACTGCTGGAAGAAGTAGCCAAGCCTACTGACTGTGAAGTATCATTTTACTGCATTTTTTTAGCCGGATTGCATGCTGCTATTCATGGTTTTCATGCTGTCCATGGTACAGAAACATTGGGTGTATTAGTAAGTTGCTCAGAAAGAATGATAGAATAGCTGAGACATTGCAGTCAATTCTGGTGCTGTTTAAAGAAACTACAGTAGGATCTTGATATCAGTTATTAATTGCTTCCTTAAAAATATAGCAGATAAGGAAAAGAGGGATATAGAATTATAGACTCGCATGTTATAGAGTGCAGTCGCATTTTATAAGATTTTGAATTATGCAAGTTTGAAATTGTGCGATATAAAAATTATTAATAAAGTCTCATTTTATGTGTAAAGTTTGAAGTAATGTGAATCCCCAAAAAATCTGCAAGAATCAAATAAAAATGAAAGATGATATTAATTAATAAAATGTTATATTATGCTACAGTGGTGTGTTTGGAGAACATATCCACCTTACTTTACATTTCTTTGCATGAGAAAATTTATCTTGAATTATGCGAGGTCTTCAGTAATGCAACCCTCGCATAAAATTCCACCACACTGTTAGTTATGTAGTTAATTACTGTTGTTCCCTCTGGAGTATAGGGCAACTGTGAAATGCCATTTCACTTAAGTTTCTTTAATCATAGACAGTCAGTAGGACTCCTTGGATGGGGTAATCAGCCTGATGCAAGGCTGCTACCTGCACAGGACAACACGAACACAGAATAAACATATGCAACCATGCCTCAAGTGGGATTCAAGCACTGCACTATGATAATTTATTTCAGTGAAGTCATAAACATGACAATTTGAACTTACTTTTAGGGAAATAAACAACAATAAAAATCAGAGTAGCAACAGTTCTATTGACTTAAATGTGGATATATACATCCACTCCTCCATATGCCTTCATGACATAGTGCTTAATTTGTTGAGCCCAGGGACAACTTTACCTTTATTGTGCACCATGTGAAGTTGAGCTTGACAGTGAAGCAGGAGAGGCATATTGTGTTCTTCCCCATGGGAGCCAGTAGATCTAATCTCTGGATCATATTAGTCGCTCAGAAAAATCTGTTACAGTCCTCTGCAGGGATTCTGACTCTGTCTGGTTCAGGTTTCAGATGTATGTGAGTTTATCCGGACTCTCCCTGGCTGCTCAGATTATGTGGAAGACTTTGCCATCCAGGAGATTGATGGGCAAGCTCTCATGTTGCTGAAGGAGGACCATCTGATGACTGCAATGTCTATGAAGCTTGGTCCTGCCCTCAAGATCTGTGCCAAGATTGACACAATGCGTTGTGATGTAAAAGAGAAATAGGAGTTATGATAGAGTTGGAAGTACAATCGCCAGTATGATCTCAAAACTTGCAGGTACATGATAGTTGATTTGTGCACTCCGTATGTATGTTGGCTATCGTCACATTAAACTGAGTGAAGTGTGAAATTTGAGCAGCACAAGGACAGTGGATTAGATTGAGTTGTAAAAGGATGTGCGGTCACTGACCATTCTTAGGAGACTGATGAACTCTTTCAGTTAAGTTCACTTTATTGCAGGGTTTCCCAAATCTTGAGTAGACACCTTCTGGATTTAAATGATATTTCTCAAGGGGCACAATTGTTCCACAAAGTTGAGGATATAATACCTGTTTTTCTTTTCAGAATTACAGACAGTTTCATTATTTGTGCAGTTTATATCAGGATTCTGCACTATGAATAGTGCATGTTCCATGACTGCCTGAATTTGTATCTGTAAGAATATGTTGTACATGGCAGGTGTGGCAATAGAAGGATATGTTAGCCATCACATGTACAGTTTTTTACCTGAGAGGTTAGCTCTTTCTAAGGGACCCAACAGATCAGGGGTCCCCCCCCCCCCCCNCCCCAGCTGAGGATGGAAACAGATCCAGTTTCTGAAACGTTGTGTTTTCTAGCTTCTAGAATACCAGAGGATGTACAAAGTCTGAAAACCCAGTAATTCTGAATACCCAATTCATCACCATCATTCTGTGTCCATACATGGCCAGAGTTTCTTCTATTTTCTGTTCAGTTTTTGTTAGTTTCCAGGAATATTCTTTCTGTTTTCCCTTCAACCAGTCAGTTATATTATATATTTGTGTTGGGATTTTCTTTCTTCTGCCTGTGCTTCTGTTTTCTTTTTTATTGTATCATGAAAATTTTATCTTATAAGCAGCTTGGCTTGGTATCTTCTAACTTAAAACCAAATATGGGACATCCCTTTTCACAGAGTATTTCACAGTAATTAGCCTGCAGTAAATGATTTACCTTCAATCCCATTGAAAGCTGAATGTATCCTAACAAGGGATATTCCTTTCATCATTAGTTTATAGCAATAATTTTCCTTCTAATTCCGTTGTTTTCCTTGTCAAAATGATGATGTCCTATAGCCCGTTTTCCCAGGTTTCTCTGTAGTTTGTTGGTTAAATATTTTCACAATAAGGTCTTACATCTTCCATTTCTATCTTCTCTTCTTTTATCATTTTGTCTTTATATTTCCTTACATGAGATTTTTTATTTTATTTTACTTTTGCATTAATTTGTGAGCTGGGATAGAACAGTTGGTATAGCAACTGGCTATGGGCTGGACAACCGAGAGGTCAGAGTTTGAGTCCTGGTAGGGACTCTTCTCCACATCGTCCAGACCAGCTCTGGGGTCCACCCAACCTCCTATACAATGTTTACCAGGAGCTCTTTACCCGGGGGTAAAACGGGACATGAAGCTGACCACTCACCTCCAGACAGTGCAAAGGCCAAGAAAATGTGGCTCTATACATCCACTCCCCCATACACCTCCATAGCATAGTGATCAGTTAGTTAAGCACAGGCACAACTTTACCTTTGCATTAATTTATTCCATAGTTCAGATAACAATATGTTATTTTATTTAATGAAAGAGTTTCCTTTGATTTGGAATGGATGGGCGGACTCATTGTTAGGTCTAGGGGCTCCAGTGTCTCTTGTTTCTGGCATCTGTGCACTTAATTTTTGCTTCTAGCACAGTCATTACTTGTGGTCCATGCTGTATGTTCTCAGTATTTTTCATCACCAAATTCATATCTTCATTTATCTTCCCCATTTCTCCATTTATGTACTGCAGATGTACCATTAGCATTCATGCACCAGTGTAATTTGTGGGGGAGGGGATCAATGTCACATAATATTTTCTGCTCCTTTGTCTCTGATGTAGGATGCAGAATGTCACAGTCACTGTAAATATCCAGTATAGGCTCTACTGGTACTTAGTGATGGCATCCTGTAATTGGATTCAGAATGTGACATATCATTTCCTACTCCTGATCTCGCTGTTCACTTGACAAACTCAGTAATGTCAACAGGTAATTATTTTAAAAGTAACTGTGGTAATCAGTTTAATACAGATGAAAGAGATCTTTTTGTAAACTTGGACACTGAGGTGGATATTAATAAAGCTTGGGAAACTGTTAGAGAAAATGTCAAAATTTCTGCCAAGGAGAGTCTAGGTTATTTATTATGAACTGAAGAAGCATAAGCCATGGTTTGATGAAGGATGCTCAAAATTACTAGACCAAAGAAGAGGAGCCAAATTGCAATGGTTACATTATCCAAGCGAAATACATAGGGATTATCTGAACAATATAAGATGTGAAACCAGCAGGCATTTCAGGAACAAAAAGAGGGAATATCTGAAAGACAAAATTGATGAGCTTGCAATGAACAGTAAGAACAAGAACATTAGAGAAGTGTATAGAGGAATAAATTACTTTAAGAGGGGTTACCAAGCTAGAAGTAACTTAGTGAAGGATGAGAATGGTTATCTGCTTGCAGATTCCCACAACATTTTGAATGGGCTTTAATTGGCTGTATTTGAAATGCTGTGTGTGAAAACTTCAGCTGCTTCTTTCTCTCTGCCACATGCCCATCAAGTGTCCTCGCTGTTATTCATTGTTTTTGGCTGGTCATATATGTTGCAGTAATGACACATGGCAACACAATGTAATGTGGATTAATTCACTTCCTCTGTTCCTGCATGCACTGAGTTCTGGGTGCAGTTGTATACCATATTAGTCACATTTCTAAGATACAAATGATCACATCTAGTCATTCCTGAATATATACATACTGTAACGCGTTTCGTTACTGAATACGCCGTAGAGATGGTTAATTGGTTTATTTAACAATCTACAAATAACGGCTACAATTAATTATCACACAGTTGCGGGGTTTCACACTTTATAACCCTAATCGCATTAATCTGTTACCACTGTTGCGGGGTTTCACACTTTATAACCCTATGCGCAAATCAGTTCACTCTGTCTTCAGTAGTCTACACGTTGACAGTAGGGAAGCTATGTATCACTGTATCACGCACTCCCAAATTACACAATCACACACACGTCCGGTTCTTCTTTCCGCGACGGCTGCTATACTCCAACAGTAGTCGGCTGACTGGAGAACTGTTGATAACACACTCGCTCGTAGGCTTGCTCGGAACTATCTTCGGCGATGGCCACGTTAACACTCGACTAGGCGACTGTTACTTTACAACTCGGCGACTGCCCACATTACAACTCACTGGTAGCTGCTGTGCAGTTCCCTTATATATCCGCAGTGGTGCCTGTTGCGTGCCACGTCACAGTAGGAAGTTGATTACGGGTACGTAGCGTTGCGCGTTACGTCACCGCGGAGGGGTGGGAGGGAGCGCTACGTTACCGCCACGCGCCTGTGGCCTGAGTTGCCACGTTGCTGCTGGGTAGGGAGGGGTTCTCCGTTGCGCAACATGTTACAATATATTCATGAGAAGGCTGTTGCAAGCCAGTATTGATAGGTAAGAAAAAAGGTAAAGTTATCCCTGTAACAGGCTGTGACGTCCCATACGGTTGTCAGACGTCGAGGCTCCCACATTTTCTCTAGACAGTCAGTCTTACGCGCCAGCCGCCCTTTACCCCCAGGAATATTCCTGGTACTCATTTCTGTTAGAGGCTGAGTCGACCCCAGGGCCATATTGCGGCTGGAAGGATTAGGTAAATTGGAAAATATCCACCTCATCGGAACTCTAACCCGCGACCTTTCGGCTTGTAGCATTGTGCCTCAACCAACTTCGCTACCGCGTTTCCCCTCAGTATTGACGGGACCAATGGAAATGTAACTGCTTAAAAGAGAGGGTGGGAGAGGGTGGGGGCAGAGACATTTATTGCAGTGCGAAATGATGTGATGGAATTCGCTGGCATTCTGATTGCTCTTAAGAAATTGTTCATATCTCAGTTCGAATATCACATGCCTGTGTTTGAATGACGTATGCTTTGGTATGCTTCCGGATTCTTAA